GCCATCAGCATGAGTTTTAATCTTATAGAGCCATCGATTGCCGACAACATTACCGGAGGAAGTAGGGGGAACTAAAGTCCATGTGTTATTTTTGAGGAGGGCGGAAATTTCATCCTTCATGGCATTCTGCCACTGAGGAAGAGATTTGGCTTGGGTGAAGGATGTAGGAGCAATAGACAAGGCTGGGGAAACAGAGGTAAGATGAGCCGAGGGATCAAAGATTTTCTTGGGCTTGGGTTGTGGACGAAGTGTCATTGAGTGCTGACGGGAAGAAGGAAGAGGAGGTGGCGGCGGAGGACTGCAATCAGATGATGAAGAGATGGATGTAGGAGACCGAGCTAAAGGTGATGAGTCAGGAGGGATAGGAGGAGACGAGAGAACTGGTGTACTAGAAGGAGACGAAGAAGAGCAGAAGACGACGCAAGCATACCAGGAGAACTGGTTACACGCAACCAAGGGGTAGCAGGAGACTTCAGCAGCGAAGAAGGAGAACTAGAAATAGAAAGTTTAAAGGGAAAGAGTTTCTCATCAAACTCAACGTGACGAGCAACATAAAGACGGTTATTCACCACATCAAAACAGCGATAACCAAGATGAGATGGAGAATACCCAAGAAAGACACACTGAGTAGAACGAAAAGAGAATTTATGTTTATTATAAGGGCGAAAAAGAGGATAGACAGCGCAACCAAAGACACGAAGAAAGGTATAATCAGGTGGCTGGTGATATAGTGTAGTGAAGGGTAGGTGACCTTGAAGAGGTTTACTAGGGTGTCGATTAATCAAAAACACAGCAGTTTCAAACGCAAAATCTCAAAATCGAAAAGGGGTACTGGAATGGCCAAGGAGAGCAAATCCAATGTCGACAATGTGACGAATTTTGCGTTCAGCAGTGCCATTCTGCTCATGAGTGTGCGGGCACGCTAAACGATGAACAATACCGACATTCTTAAAGAAAGAATTGAGAGAACGAAATTCACCACCCCAATCAGAGTTAACACTTTTAATGGTAGTGTCAAATTGGTTTTCTACGAGAGCTTTGAATTGCTTGAAAACATGGACAACATCACTTTTATACTTAATGGGATAAATCCATGTGAATAAAGAGAAGTCATCAATAAAAAGCACAAAGTACCGATAACCATTGAATGACAAAATAGGAGCAGGACCCCAAACATCAGTGTGAATTAAATCAAGATGTTTAGAGCTACGATGAAAAGTAGAAGGTAAACTGACCCTATGTAACTTCCCTAAACAATACGCCTCACATTTATCAGTGGACGTGGACACAGAGGAATAAGGAAGTTGAAACTGCCTAACCAAAGTACGAAGAGTGACATTATTAGGGTGCCCTAAACGAGCATGCCACTGACCTAAAGAGACAAGATAAGCTGCTGGAGGCAAGGAACCACGAGCAGGAAGATCTAAGCGATAGAGACCATTATCAGCCCGACCGCGGAGGAGGAGTTCCTTGGTTGAAAGATCCTTAACACAACAAGAGTCAGAATAAAATTTAAAAAAACAGTGATTATCACGGGTAAACTTTTGAACAGATAACAGAGGCTTAGTAAGAGAAGGGCCATGCAAGACACGATTTAAATAAAGAAGACGAGAAAACGATGGCAAAATAGATTGACCAACATGCTGAATAGGTAAAGCATCTCCATTACAACTAAAATATGATCCGTACCAGTATAATCATTGGAGATACTGAGAGAGGACAAATCTGGCGTGACATGATCGGTAGCACCAGTGTCCGGATGCCAGGGAGTGACAGAAGGGGCATACTTCGCCATATGGGCTTGAGGAGACACAGTCGACTCCGGGTAAGACGGAAGAGGCAACAAACTAGCTGAAGGCGGTGCAGGAGAAATTGCCTGGGCATAAGCAGCCGACCGAACGGCAAGGGGTCGGGGAACAAAATTAGTATCAAAACGGCGTCGACAAGTGGCGCCGTGTGATTCAAGATGCCGCAAAGCTGACACGTCTCACCCGGAGTGGGAGGGGTGTACCCACGCTGACCACCACCACGACCAGAACCCTGATTGCGCCGGCTGCCGCGTTGCGGGCGACCGACACTAGGGGATTGAGGCGGCGTAGGAGAAGGTGGCGACTGCACAAGTATGGCAGTGGGCTGAAGGACCGGATGTTGGGCGTGAAGAAGCACCTCATACGAAACTAACTGGCCAAGGAGATCTTGATAGGAGGGGGGTTCGGATCACTATTGTAGAGCTCCGATGATGCCATTGAATTCGGCACCAAGCTTGCGGAAGATTATGGCATTGAATTCCGCAGGAGATATGCGATGGCCGGCAAGCTGCAGTGTATCTGCAATACCCTTCGCTTTGGAGAGGAGAGCCGTGACCGACAAGTCACCTTTTTACAAGCTGTGGAGCTCCATAACAAGCTGGGTCTGTTGAGCATAAGAAAGAGTGCCGAAACCCTGCTGAAGAGCTGTCTAGGCAGCCGCTGACGTTGTGCAGCCCTGGAGAACGGGAAAAATGTCTTCAACAACGGAAGAAAGAATCCAAGAGAGGACCAGCTGATCCTTTTGCTGCCAGATATCAAACTCAGGATTGAGTTGGGGCGCGGCACCACTGACGGAAGGAAGAAAACGTGACGGTGCAGGTTCGGTGCCGTCAACAATACCGGCAACACGAAACATAGTCAATAAAGGAGTAAACTGAAGACGCCAAGACGAATAGTTGGCTCGAGATTGCAGCTTTACAGTGAAAGAATGATTGAGAGATTGCAGACTAGGTTGAAGAAGGGACACTGGTGTCTGTGAAGGTGCCGCCGGCCGAAGATGGGTAGCCTGGTCGGTGGATGAAAGGTCGGTGATAGTCATCGTTGAAAGGAAGCAAGCAAGACTTAATAAAGCCCAAGTGTTTTTTTTTTTTTTGGGTTAACTCGAAACAGCAGCAATGTACACCACGGGTTTGCGGCTCAACGGATCCACCAGAACAGCAGCACGTGCTGAAGAGCAGCAGCAACGTAAAAAAAATGATGACAACGACGACGACGACGGAGAGATCAGTAGCAGCAGCGTACAAAAGTGACCAAGCAGCAGGCGGCGGAGAGATCAGCTTGCGGGAGGAAACTGTACCGCGAATGACGACGCCAAGAACGGGCAGAAAAACAGCAGCGGAAAAGCACGCCCGAGCGACGAACCGGCAGCAGCAAAACGCCGGCAGCAGCAATGGAGATCAACGGCAGCAACAGAAGCAACGGGAGCAGCAGAAAAAAACGGCAGCGACGACGGCACGGATTCGAAAGGGGAAAAAGAAAGAGGCACGCAGGCGAAGAACCGGTGTGTGGTGATTAAGAAAAGGAAGAAAAAGGCCGACTACGGCGGATGGGTTTCTCACGGCCAGAAAAGAAAAACCGGCGGGGAAGAGAAAAGAAAAGAGAAGAAAGAAAAAAATTGGGTAGCCTAACTCGATACCAACTTAGAATAGGGAAATTGTATTTGATTCATAATATATTGTGCACAATATACAGACTATATATAGACAATAACAAACCCTAAACTAGGACATAATAGGAAATATACTAAATATTACAATAAACTATATTTAAAAACTACTTTTTTAGAGAGGGGTCTGATTTATATGTATTTGGCGGGCTCTCACCCAGGAATGTCAAACTCAAATCGTTAGTCAATGAAACGACGTCAGTGGTCAATGATTTTTATTGTCAAATAAAGTAGCTTTAAAAACAGAAAAGATAAAAGAAAAAATGAGGGGCAAGGTCCAAAAAATAATAAAATATAGAACACATCGAAGCTGGAAAGCACAAAGCAGCAGAAACAGGAGACGGAAATTGCAGGATGACTCTGTTCCTTCTCGTGTATAGGTTTACTTATTATTTGGTTTGTCTTTGAAAATCGATCTCTGCCGTCTCTGATGAGGTAAGTTCCACATATATATAATATATATATATATTTTATTAATTTCTTTTTGTTTTAATTTCATTGTTAGCCCCATGGTAGCGATCCCTCACGGGGCAAGAAACTTCGCCCTGAAATTAGCTTTGATTGATTCCGGGACGTTATTTATAAGATTATTTGGGTCATGAATCGTGCATGAATATTCATACATCAGCCTCGACGCAATATGGGACTTAATTTTGTCAACAGCAGCTGTAATCTGTTAACTATTTGTCGTCTGTTACTTAGCATATTTCAGTTGCTTTTCAATTTTCGATACTAGGGAAACTTAGCGGTTAGGGTAAACATTAAACAAATAACTTGGAAGAGTTCATTTCTTTTCTTTCTTTTTTTTTTTTGTGTTTTTGGTTGACAGTTGTATGACGAGGTTGTTTTCCAAACAAAGTAAGTAGTTATGACGATAGTTTGTGTAAGCCAAGATAGAAATTCACGGTAGAGAATATGCCTGCACTGTAGAGTCAGTAATGTGGAATGAGGTAATGAATTGTCGTGCTCATATGAACGGTCGCAGTTATATCTCTCATTATGAAATCTGAGAAAGAAAATCAAACTTTAGAGCAAATTTGAAGAATGCTATTAATTCATTAGATTAACTCGCAACATTAGTTGCTCATCAAAGTCTATAATTACATTTTTTTCCCTTCTTTTTTCGTAGCTGATTAATTAGGATGTTTCATGTTTGGCAAATATTGATCATTATGAAATATGAATGAAAAAATTCTTTACTTCGTTTTTCCGTGCTTCATAATTAGCAATTTTGTAATTACATATCAAAATAACAACTATGGTGAGATTCATAGCATCCGCAAGTAGTCATCACTGATGTGCATTTCTAACTTTTTGCACTCCCAGTGCTTATACTATATCTTGCTACTATTACATATAAATGTGCGTAACATTTCATATTGCCTTGAGCGTTTGTTAACCCATTTCATGTGTGCCCAGTGGCTGAGGAGATCATGCTTGTAGGGTAATTACTAATAAATGCCCTGATGCTCCACTAATTAAAACCTTCATTTTTGTGGATCGGGATTGAATTGGAAGGATGCCGTTTATGATGTCAATATTTCTATCACCTGGGGCAGGTATCCGGTCAAATGATTCCCCCCGAAAGAGACTCTTGTCAAGCTTGAGCAGTTCTTTAGTGCACTGGGAATGGAACCACTTAGCTGATTGTCTCCTAAACTTAGATTATCTATGAACTTTAGATTCCCAAGCTCTCCGGGGATCGAGCCACTTAATTGATTAGCAGAGAGCTCCAACACCTGCAGATTGGTGATGTTACCCATTGAAGTTGGGATCGGACCATTAAACTCATTTTCATACATGTACAGCTCCTGAAGTGCAGTTAGTTTCCCCAACTCAGGGGGGATTTGACCTGAGAGTTTATTGTGGAAAAGAGCCAAATATTGTAAGTTACTCGAATTACCAAATGTACTGGGTACAGACCCCGTCAGCTAGTTTTGTATCAAATCTATCTCCGCGATGAACTTCAGATTTCCAAGCTCTCTGGGGATTGAACCATTTAATTGATTCCAATAGAGGTACAACTTCTTTAGATGGGTCATGTTACCAAATGAAGCTGGGATAGGACCATTTAGCTCATTACCATACATTCCCAGAAGCTGAAGTGTTGACAGTCTCCCCAACTCAGGGGGAATTTGACCCGAGAGTTTATTTCTGAAAAGAAACAGTATTTGCAAGTTATTCAAATTACCTAATGTGCTGGGAACAGGACCAGTCAGCTCATTCTCTGATAAATCTAATTCACCCAAGGAGTTCAGATTGCCAAGCACTCCGGGGATCGAATCTCTTAATTGATTCCTATAGAGGTGCAACCATTTCAGATTGGTAAGATTACCTAATGACTTTGGGATTGGACCATTTAGCTCATTTCCTTGTATGCTCAGCTGCTGAAGTGCCGTTAGTCTCCCAAACTCAGGAGGAATATGACCGGAGAGTGTATTGTTGAAAAGAGCCAATCTTTTTAATGTAGTCAAGTTCCCAAAAGAAGGTGGAACTGGACATGTGAAATTGTTGTTCCCCATGTACATTTCCACAAGATTGTGGAGATTTCCTAATTCCGGAGGAATAGGACCTGAGAGTAGGTTGTCAGAGAGGTACAACCACTGCAGATTGGTCAAGTTACCAAGTGAAGTTGGGATTGGACCGTTAAGCTCATTCCCAAACATAATCAGAAACTGAAGTGCCGGTAGTGTCCCCAACTCAGGGGCAATTTCACCAGAGAGTTTGTTGTTCCAAAGAGCCAAAAATTGTAAGTTACTAAAATTACGAAATGTACTGGGAACAGAACCCATCAGTTGGTTTTCTGATAAATCTAGTTCATCCAAGAAGTTTAGATTGCCAAGCTCTCTGGGGATGGAATCACTTAATTGATTCCTGAAGAGGTACAACTTCTGCAGATTGGTAAGATTACCTAACGACTTTGGGATTGGACCATTTAGCTCATTGTCCGATATACTCAGCTGCTGAAGTGCTGTTAGTCTCCCTACCTCAGGAGGAATATGACCAGAAAGTTCGTTTATTGAAAAATCAAGATACTCAAGATTAGGGAGTGATAGAAACGGGAAGCTGTAAAGTGCACCAGAAATATTTGACTCGGCGAGGTTGAGCTTGTTGACACTTCCATTGATGCACGACACGCCATACCAACTGCAAGGGCTTCTGCTGGGAACTGAACCATTCCATGAAGTTAACAGAGGGTTATTCGGGTTATGTAAAGTGGATTTCCATGTGAGAAGAGCAGATGCTTCGTTTTGAGCAGAAGAAGATGAATCGGCAGGTCCTTGCAGGCAACATAACGACAGGAAAACTAGAACCCAGTGAAACATGATCAAAGTGTTTCTGCTTTTCAGCGCTCAAATATTTAAAAGGCTTTCTAGCAGTAGCAGCTTTTGTATCCTAGCCATGAACACAAAATTGACTAACACACTTCTTCAACACCTATAACATCACGCAAGTCAGGCAAAATCTGGGCCCTATTATCAAAGAACCCGGTGTAGCACGGCACATATTCATTGGTCTACGAATAATATTATCTTCCCTTGACTAAATTTTTCAGTGTAATTGTCGTTTACAAATGATGAAATCATAATTTTGCGCGTATGTTTGTGGGGTAGGGAATGTTTTCTGATCGGGAGTTGAATTGATCAACTTTAGCTATCCTAAACCCCATGTTTGGAATCCGCTGTTTTATCCGAATATCTCCAACAGTAATTACACTCCCGATTTTAATTTTTAGGCTATCATGTAACCAAACTACTACCAATTGATGTTATGGATTTAGAGGGAAAAAAAAAAAATTCATTAGCTTTGTTGTTTACTAGAGTTTTAGCAAAACACAAAGTCATCCAATTTGCATTTACAGTACCACTTTTGAGTGAGTTGTGAATATTTGTTTTGGTTGCTCTGTTTGAAAATCCCCAACAAAAGCACTTCTATAGATCAGACCATTAGAAACGAGACGAACTGATGACCCTGTTACAACTGACAACACCTTACAGAGAGAATGAACCATTTTATTTTTTTTTCTTTTCAATCTACGATATGGATTAGTATTTTCCAAACCCCATGTGGAATTCCTGATCGTTACTTCATAGCAAAATTATACCCTAGTCTGAGGAATATGGAAGAATTATTAGGAGGTCTACAAATACAGTCAACTAATTCTCTACCTGACCATATTTGTGGCAAAATTAAATGAAAAAATGTGAAACATTTACTTCAATTAATCTGTCATTTTCACCAATCATATTTGTGAATCCCTGATTTTTATATAACTTTTATTATAAAAGGTTGAAGATTTTCTATAATTTTTAAAAATTAGAATAAAAAAATCTAATTGATTATATTTGATTTATCTTTTAATCCATAAATAATTCGTAAATGTGTTTTAAACAAATTTTATATTATTCGACAAGATCTTCTTATCCAAAAAAAATTGATCACGAATATATTTTGTTCGATTTAGACATATCTTACTTATATACTAGTTGTTAATTAAACCGTGCACGGGGTTTATGCATAATTTTGTATGAGTTACATATTTAAAATATAATAAAATTGTAAAACAAAAGAATAAATTATGAACAGTACATATGTATGAGTTACATCTTTATTGAATAGTAACGTATTAAATTTAAAAGGAAAATATTAACAATTGTTGTATTTTAAAATAATAGAAATGCAAACATCATCCAATTGTAAATAGGAAAAAAATGTAATATTACATTAATTTGCTAGTCTAATTGATGATAGAGTAAAGAGTAAATTAATAATAAGGAAAATGTAATAAAAACATACTGTAAAAGTGGGCTTGTTATTTGAAAGTAATTAGCTTGTCTGATATTAGTTTTGAAACATTAAAGTAAGAAAGTCTACATGACATAATGGGGTAAATGTTAAAAGAAAGTAAACAGTTGGGGTGGCATTTAACATTTTTTATGTTGTTATCCTTTTTTGAAAATAAATATGCAAAAAGATGTGTTATGGAAAGATAATCGTTGGAATAATGAATCATTTTGTGCAAAATATTCTGCTCATTTTCTATATCCGACGATGATTTCGGACGGTCAGTTAATTGAGGTTCTTTCTACTACTCACTCCTTTGATAAATTGAATTTAAATTATAGCAACAATGACTCCCTTAAAGTGAAGTTTACTGGGTGGAGATTTTTGTTGGAGAATTGGAATGATTGGATTGATAGCATGCATTCTAAGTACCATTTTGTGTGGAAAAAAGCTGGGTTAAGTGACTCAATCACTTATGCTTGTTTGACTTGTAATTTCTCGTGTATTTCGTCAAATCAAAATTAATGATGTTGACAGAGGTGGATAGTGAAAGTATGGTGGAAATGATAGCAGGACAACCCAACTCCCTACAATCCATGGAGGTTTGGTAAAGAGTTTCAGAGAGCTAATATCGCAGGAATGGGTTGTTGAATTGAAGTACGTATGGAGGGAGGCGAATTTCACAGCTGACTGATTAGCAAGGAACTCACTGGAGTTTTATGGATACGAGAAACTAAACGTACCGCCGACTTTTGTAAAACCTTGGCTATTACACTGTATTAGGGGTTTCATACCCCCGTAATGTAATAGTATGAATCCTAGGCCTTGTGTTTCCTTCGTTGTACCAAAAAAAAAAAAAATAAAATTGGTGAATTGCTTAATCTCTTCAAGTCCATCTTCAAGAAGCTTTTAAAATTTCCACCCAGTTTTTTATCGATCGAAACTTGTATTTTTACTCTGACAGTGGAGACAAACCACAAAAACACAACTTATAATTAATAATTTTTCTGAATATGGGATACTTACATAAATCGGCTTAAACAGACATATGATTTAACTGCATGAATACAAACTAAATTGTATTATTTTACCTGTTCATCAATAAGTAAAGTTTTGACCGATCACTTCGCCAAAAGTTGTTGTCCAGACGTGTAATATTCTTACATTCAGCTTCCAATCAGATTTGACGATTATTGGTGTCAAGTCTTTGATGAAATCAAAGTTGTTGCTGGTACGTGATGTCGACATTGTTTCAATTTTGGGTGGAGGAAGGTTTTTGTGACGTAGATACAATGGTTTTGGAGTTCAGAGATATTTATATCATGTGATCGATGATATAACGGAGAAAAAAACTCATCAATAAAAAAATCGCCGTGATATAGTGGATTTGTAGTTCAGCGGTAAGGTGAGTCCATTAAAACCCCGATTACATAACTATTTAAAAAGGAAACAACAATCAATCAAAACTAGTGATTGCTCATTTAATCTCTTCAATATACTACTCCATTCGTGTTTTTTCCCGAAGTAAAAATTGTGATATAATCCGTTTAGCCCCCGATAAATAGTCCATGAATACTACTTCGTTTATTTCAATATATTTTCTATAATAACATGAAATTGTTTCTGGGATTAGTACTTTTTTTAATAAAAAAAAAGAAAAGCAATCAATCTACATTAATGACCATCATAGCCGGATAAATAGTCCATGAACACTACTCCATTTATTTCAATATATTTTCTATAATAACATCAAATTGTCACTCCGATTAAGATACATTTTTTGTTAAAAAAGAAAAAGAAAAGAAGGAATCAATCACATTAATGATTGCTCATTTTATTCCTTCATCCCCGTAGAAACACTCTCCATCCGGATAAAATCACTCAATGATAATTATTTCATACTCTTATTTCCTATTTAGCCATCGATTAATATAAAATTATAAGTGTGAAAAAAATTAATTTCATAAATTCCTAAGGACTTGTAGTGTAAATGTACAAACTTTTTTTTTCAGAGTTTTTGTAAAAATGCCACAAAGGATAAAATCTTATGTGGCACCCCTAGAATTCTTTTTTTAATTTTTTTTTCTGGTTTCTCTCTTCGTATAATAATAATATATATATAATATATAATATAATAATATACTATAGATATGCACGTTAACATCAGTGCCAACAAAAAAAAAATTGTTTATATTTGAACATATTTCGCGTAGCAGCTAAACGTGCGAATCAAAACCGATCATATAGAGTTAAAAACAATGGAAACACCGGCCGCACTAATTTAAATTCTCCTCACACATGTGGTACCTGTTCAGTTGTTCATATACGCTCGGCTCGATGTACGAAAATTTCAGTTATCATGCAAAAAAATAAAAATTAAAAAAATTAAAAAATGAATTCCCGTAAAGAAATCAAACTTTAGAGTAATTTTTTTTTTTTTTTTTGGTTAACACTTTAGAGTAAATTTGAAGAATGCGATTAATTCGTAAGATTAAGGTTACTTATCTTTCAACTAGTTGGTCATCAAAGTGTCTAATTACATTTATAGGAACATCAGGCCTCTCTATGAAGAAGATGATGAAAGTCGCTTTTACGATGGACAATTATGTTTTCTCACTCAAATTTTGTTCTGGATGCTAGATTTTGTTTTGGCAGAATTATCTTCCAAATATTAATCATTATTATGTAATCTATGAATACAAAAGTTTTCAGTGATGATGCATAAGTTGAAATTAACAAGGCCCAAATTATCCATAACTAACAGGCCCATCGAACAAAGATTTTGAGAGACCCACTTATTCAAACCCACCTCATCCTCGGGTCGTCCGGCAAAAAAATTTAAAAGAATTGATCTGGGCAAAAATTTTTTTACTTAATTTTGGTGGACATAAGCAGTTGTTTCGGATTTGGTAAGTCTGAGAGTCTAATTAATCGTATTTTCGGATTTGTCAAGTTCGAAACAATAAAAAATAATAAAATATAAATTTTTTTTTGTTATTTTGAAAAAAAGAAAAGAACCAAGGTCAAAATGTATACAGTAAACTCAGATTTTTGAAATCCGAGAGCTTGCCGAACATAATTTTTTTATAAAAAAAAAAACTAAAGGACGAGAAAATTTAAAATTTTTATTTATGGTGGGAAAGTTTGAGAATTTAATAAATGAACAGTGAAATCGGATTTCAGAAATCTGACCTATCTTTTCTTTTAAAAAAAAATCTTTTAGTGCAAAAAACTTTGAAAATTTGAGTTTTGATAGGAATTTGCATTAAATTGACATATTCACTTTTTAAAAACTAAAAAATAAAAAAATATTGTATTAGATATAATATTAATAAAATCTTTTATTATTAATAATTACTAAGAATTTACATTAAATTGATGAAAAATATGTATTACTAATGTTACATAGTATTATTTAAACTGATAGGAATTTGAATTAAATTAATTCGTTATAATTGATGAAAAATTTATATTACTAGTGTTACGTAGTGTCATGTACTATTTGTACGTACTAGTATTATATAGTACATTAATATTATTAACCACTATGTATTACTGGTATTAGTTTTACTTATTACTGTTGAATCTGTTAGTCATTAGATATTATCATTAATTCAGTATAATTCATATGTATTAGTGCTATTTACGTTTTATACGTACTAGTATTATGTAGTATATTAATAATTATTACCCACTATACATTATTAATACTAGTGTAACTTATTACAGTTAAATCTGTTAATCATTAGATATTATCTTTAATTCAGTATAATTCATATGTATTAGTGTTATGTACTATTTATACGTACTAGTATTATGTAGTATATTAGTACTATTATCCATTATAAATTACTGGTACTAGTGCTACTTATTATTGTTAAATCTGTTAATCATTAGATATTATTGTTAATTCAGTATAATTCATCTGTATTAGTATTATGTACTATTTGTACGTACTAGTATTATATAGTACATTAATGCTATTACATATTATACATTGCTAGTACCAGTGTTACTTATTACCGTTAAATCTGTTAGTCATTAGATTTTATCATTAATCAGTATAATTCAACTGTACCTTTTAAGCAACTAATCAAATTTCAAAATCTGAGTTAAGCAAAAAATTGAATTTTCAAAATCAAGCCATAGGGTTTAGAGTTTAGGGTTTAGGTTCGAATTTTCCAAATCTGAGTTTAACCGAACTCGGATTTCCAAAATCCGAGTTTAACTTAAACTCGGATAACCAAAATCTGACTTTTAGGGTTTAGGATTTAGGGTTTTCATATGGATTTCTTAAATCCGAGAGCTTCCTGAATATTTTTTTTGAAAAAAAAAAATGAAGTGCGAGAAAATTTAAAAATTTCTTTATGGTAGGAAAATTTGAAAATTTAATAAATGAATAGTGAAATCGGATTACGCAACAACTCGGATTTCTCAAATCCGGCCATAAGTGAAACAAGTGGACTCGGATTACCGAAATCTGAGTCTCTTTCCTTTTTATTTTTATCACTTAGATGACATGAATATTATTATCAATGATTAAAAAAAGTATTCATAATAACTCCAATGAATTCTAATAGCAATAATGCGTTCTGTTCTCCTCACTGTGACACTATGTGTGATGATGCCTATAGTAGCTCTGTCGCCGGCAGAATCAAGATGATGATCAAACTTTCTCAAATACCAGTTTAGTTCAATGTACCTTGTGTAGGTATGGACACTACAAGAATTATAAATTTGATGTATTGGTATCAGTTTAGTTTCAATGTGCCTTCTATTTTCGAATACTTAGATTTTTTTCTAAAAAATAAAATTAATTTTTTTATTACAAGCTTTCGGATTTAGGAAATTCGAGTCTCTTCCCTTTTATTTTTCTTAGATTTTTTTTTACGAAACTTAAAATAATTTTTTATTATGAAATTTTGGATTTTTGGAATCTGAATTTTTGTGTTCCGAATTAGACTAATCCGTTTCTAATAAACTTTTATTTTCAAGTACTTAGAATATTTTTCTTAAAAAAGTATTTTTTTTATTGCTGACTCTCGAATTTGCTTAATCCGACTCTTGATTAGTTTAAATTAATCGTTTGATTTAATTTAAGTAATTTTAGATTACTAAAGTCTCGGATTACACTCATCCGAGTTTCGGTGGTCTCGGATTTTTGAACTCCGACTGCACGGTATTCTCGAATTTGGCAAATCTGAGAGAACTAGTATTATCCACCTAATTTAGAACCACATTATTTTTGTCGAGAGTGTTCTTTAAATAATTTTTTCGGTAAAAAACTCCCTCATCCTCCTATTTTATTCTGAGTTAACGATCATCAACCTAGCTAGCTCAAACCAGGTGCAATTCTTTCAATAATATTTGAAATCACAAAGAAGAAAAATTTCCGCAAATAAAAATCCCAAAAGGGCAGCGAAATGCTCCGGTATTTTATGGTCTCACACATCACTAAAATCTTCATTTTTGTGGATCAGGATTGAATTTGGAAGTCTGGCGGTTTATGATGTCAGTATTTGTATCACCTCAGGCAGGTATCCGGTCAAATGATTCCCTCCGAAAGAGACTCTCATCAAGCGTGAGCAGTTCTTTAGTGTACTGGGTATGGAACCACTTAGCTGATTTTGTCCTAAAAAAAAATTATCAATGAACTTCAGATTCCCAAGCTCCCTGGGGATCGAACCACTTAATTGATTAGCATAGAGCTGCAATGCCCGCAGATTGGTGATGTTACCTATTGAAGTTGGGATTGGACCATTTAACTGATTTTTCGACAAGAACAGCTCTCGAAATGCCGTTAGTTTCCCCAACTCAGGGGGAATTTGGCCTGAGAGTTTATTGTTGACAATAGCCAAATATTGTAAGGTACTTAAATTACCAAATGTGCTTGGAACAGGACCACTCAGCTGGTTTCCAACCCAATCCAACTCTTTAATGTGCTTCAGATTGCCAAGCTCTTTGGGGATCGAACCACTTAATTCATTCAAAGAGAGGTACAACTGCTGCAGATTGGTCATGTTACCAAATGAATTCGGGATCGAACCGTTAAGCTCATTGTCATACATAATCAGATTCTGAAGTGCTGTTAGTCTCCCCAACTCGGGGGGCATTTGACCCGAGAGTTTATTGCTCCAAAGAGCCAAGAATTGCAAGCTTCTCAAATTACCAAATGCACTGGGAATAGAACCAGTCAGCTGGTTTTCTGATAAATCTAATTCCTCCAAGAAGTTCAGATTGCCAAGCTCCCCTGGAATCGAATCACTTAACTGATTCTTGTAAAGATGCAACAATGTCAGGTTGGTGAGATTACCTAATGACTTTGGGATTGGGCCATTTAGGTCATTGCCCGATATGCTCAGCTCCTGAAGCTCTGTTAGTCTCCCTAACTCAGGAGGAATATGACCAGAGAGTGTATTGTTATCAAGATACAACATCTCTAATCTAGTCAAGTTCCCGAAAGAAGGTGGAATTGGGCCCGTGAAATTGTTGTTATCCATGTAGATTTCAACAAGATTGAGAAGATTTCCTAATTCTGGAGGAATAGGACCTGAGAGTAGATTTTCATAGAGGTAAAAGATTTGCAACTTTTTCAAATTGGCCAAGGAAGGAGCAGGGATGGAGCCTTGAAGGTAGTTTGAACACAAACCTAAATAGAACACCGAGGTTAATTGTCCTATCTCCTCAGGGATTGAGCCAATGAACTGATTATAAGAAAGGGAGAGAATTTTGAGATTCTTTAAGAGGCCAATTTCAGGTGGGATTTTGCCCAAAAAACTATTTCCTAACAATTCAAGATGTATCAGCTGGGAGAGGTTACCTATCTGTGGTGGGATTCTGCCAGAGAGTTCATTCATGGAAAAATCAAGATACTCAAGGTTAGGGAGCGATAGAAATGGGAAACCGTGAAGTGTACCAGAAATATTTGACTCAGTGAGGTTCAGAGTATGGACACTTCCATTGATGCATGAAACTCCATACCAATTGCACGGACTTTGGGTTCTTGAACCATTGGTAATTGGGTGGTGAACATGCCATGAACTTAACAGAGGGTTGTTTGGATTTAAGAGATTGGATTTCCATCTGAGAAGAGCTGCTGCCTCTGTTTGAGCAGAAGGAGGAGATGATGAATGAGCAGCTCCTTGAAAGCAACATAATGACAGGAAAAGCACTACTAGAACCCAATGAAACATGATCAAAGTGTTTCAGATACTCAAAAGCTCAATACTAGGTTAAAACAATTTCTAGTTTAGCAGCTTTATATAGTATCCATGAACACGGAAGTCAGTCAGTCAACCTAGCTAGGACCCAGGTCTCAACTTTTCCACCAAAACACTGTGGATTAAGAGTTGTTTTCCACTGTAATTGTAGTTTACATTGTACAAGTGATCAAATCAACATTTTCCAGGCGTGTCTGTGGGGTGGAAACATTTTTTTTCCATTTTTTTAATTGCAATCTGATTGAGCGCAATCACGCTTCTTCTTTCGGCCATCCAAAAAGAACATCCATGTAAATGTGGAAACTCTAATTGTGACATTTGATTGTATGTAGAGTATTATTTGTCATAATTTGTTTTGAATTAAAAGTCCATACTACGTAAATGTGGAAAAACAACATCGCAAAGATTGTGTAAGGGTAGCTCTACTAGATAGAATATTTGAGAACAATGTGCTCAAAGTGACTTGGACACTCGGTTGAAGTTGAACACACGTGAAGCTGAAAAAACACCCAAAGCCATGACCTATTGTAGAGGGGAAGAAAGTAAACATCAAAAGCAACTACACTAGGCCGGCTATATGATAACTTCCCCCTTCATTAACGATTTTCAACTATTCATAAATTCGCAATGTCCAAAAATAATTATCCGAAATGATTATGCAGTTATACAAAGGCAATCAAAGAAGAGATTCTTATTTTGGTTCTCTTCCGGCCAAATCAAAGAAAACTTTGATGGTACGAAATAATTAGATATATTACTGATGTCCCTATAGAGTGTTGGAAAAATGCTCCACAATGCTAACATAGAATATAAATTCTTGAGTCGTGCTAAAAAAAAACATTGTTCTAAAGAAGCTATTTTAATCGTATTGGAATATTTTTTCAGGATTAAACAAGTTTTTCTCGTGTCAATAGGGGAAGCAAGAACAATATAAATATATCTAGGAAAAGAAAAATAAAGTGCAAAAGAGCTTTTAATAAGAAAACAATGTGTCTGGTTTTCCACAATGAGAATAAGCCGATGGCTTTTCTGTTCTTGAAGTTGGAAAGGGAAAATAAGAAATAAAGAAATAAAAGGCTAATTGTTGTAATTCTTTAAAAATGGACGAAATGGAAAATGGACTATGGTTCTACTAAATGAAGCCTTTCATTTATAGACTTGGAAAACTAACATTCAAGTGTGACTAATAGGAGAAAATATTTCCACAAGCGTGAAATTTAGACCATGGGTAGACTGAGTAAAAATGACACTGTCAAAATTTTATCTCACAAGTCTTTGTCAAAGTTTAATTTCATAATGGGAGTCGGGAGACCTTTGTCTTTCAAAAGGGAATTACCCAGCTCGAATCTGGATTATTCAGAATAATGACTTTGGACATTGGGTGCGCGAAAAAGAAAAAGTTTAATTTCATAAGACAAGTAAAACTTTTGATTTTCTAAAACTGTCAATAAACAAACTTAATAGTTTTAGGAAAACTCATTTAGTTAATAAAATCTTTTGAAATAACGTTGTTTATTCGACACCGAGTTCAATCATCTTTTGCATTTTTTCCATACTTTTGGCGGGCATGAATTTTCAGTTAGTTTGGGGCTGGAGATATTTCTGTACTAAGATAGATTATCGATAGTTAGTGTCTTAATTAAATTCGTATGTTGTGTCTCTCTCGGTGATGTACGTAGGTTAAACGTTTTGACTCTCTATAAGTTGAGCCAGGATGATTATATATTTATATATTATATTTGTATAAGTTGAGCCTGGACGATTATATATTTATATCATGCATATACTCTTCTTGTTAATGCCTACTGCATTTTCATGTAAATCTGACATGATGATGTAGTTGAGTTCTACATAATCAGGATATTTTGCCATTTTATTCGATGTTAAAATTAAGAGAAAGATTGTAGTACGTTGTGATCAATTGGTTTATCTAATGATTCAGTTTATCAAATTACAAAAAAAAAAAAAAAACTTTATCTATATGAAATTAATTACTTTCTGTTCTAAAATTATTGTTCATTTAGATTTTCACTTTTAATATAATTTAAATTAAAACTAAATATCTAAACTGGACAATAATTTTGGACCAAGAGATTGTAAAATTTGAATAATTGGCTGAGCTTGCAAGTTTTTTTCTTTCTTACCGTCTATCGCAGTAATCTTCGTACTTGTTGAAGATTACATCAAGTTCAAGTTGGATTTGTAATATCATAGTATCATGATCAAATTATTAACTACTCCCTCTGTCCCAAAATTATTGTCCAGTTTGAGATTTCACATTTAGTACAATTTGAACTAAAAACGAAAATCCAAACTGGACAATAATTTCGGGACGGAGGGAGTATTTACTTTTTAGGTTGGTTTGGCATAAAATTATGAAGAGAATTTATAGAAAGTTTTAGCTATGTAGAACCGATCCTGGTCGTGTTCAAATAATTATTCTAACATACTCATGCTCATGCAAATGAACAAAAATGATTTTCAAATTTCAGTAATACTTTTAACTTTATAGTGGTGTTTGTCTTAAGGAAGTGTTGAATTAAGGTTGCAAATTGCAATCTAGTATGGCTCGATCGGCCTGGGAGTAGGCCTTCTTCGTCTTCCACCTAGGAGCAGCTTCGGTTAGAGCAGAGCCCAAAACGGAATAATCCAAATATTTGTTTAGCAAATGATGGATTTTGCGCCATGGAATGAATTAAAGAACTTAAAGCGTCATCAATATTGACAACATATCCCTGACTTTATCTCGTAGTTAAATAGAAGTGATACAAAACATAGTAAAAATTACCTTTATCAAATTCAATCCCGATCCCCAAAAACTACGAGGTGATTGTTTGCGCTGGAAAGGAACAATCAATCGGATCAATTTAAATCAAATTTCAACATCATGGAAAAAAAATTTCAATAATTATGAAGTCCTAGATAGAAAGAAATCATACCATAGAGTTAGAATATTTGAAGAAAACGATTAATTCATTCATTCATTAGATTAAGGTTAGTTAACTCCCAAGTCCCAACATTTGTTGTTCATCAAAGTCTCTAATTACATTTTTCCTCCTGCTTTTTTCGTAGTTGATTAATTTGCGAAAAATTCTCCTCTTTTTAGTACAGAGAATAAGGCTATACGCCTAAGAAAGGGTTACGTTCCTGGGGTATGACACCCCTAATTGATCATGTCAAAGCCATGGCTGAACTTCCAGCGGTGGCTTCTGTAATCTACGGACTCCCCAAAAGGACGGCTTCTTCAATCCAGCTAAACAATCAGGCAAGCAATTGGCTTCTCTAAAAATATGACGGATTAGCACTCTCCAATTGCGAAATAACAGCTCCCTGATCTCTGTTATTAACCTTTCATGTTGTCTGCTACCAACTCTACATCCTCACACTATGTGCACTGCAGCTCTACTGTCCATCTCCGCCATGATCTGCTTCTCACCATTATTCCACGCAAGCTTTAGACCGTGATACAGACCCCACAGTTCTGCTCCCGTAACAGTTGTACACCCAATACCTTCCAGCATCCTCTACTGTCTCTTATTAAGCCACCAGCTCTTGCCTCACCTGAAAATCTGTCATAAGAGCCGCCAGCTTTATACCTGGTGTCATAAGAGCCACCAGCTCCCGCAAAAAATTCTCCTCTCAATTCTCAGTGCTGCATTATCAAAATGGCAACTCTAGTAACTCGCTGCATACCCGGATGTGCATTTCTAACTTTTGCACTCCAGTACTTCTCTTTATACGTTTTGCTACTATTACATAAGTGTATGTTTGATCAGAAAGAATGTCTTAGTATCACAATTCATACTGCCTTGATTGTCAGGATTGGATTGGATTGGAAGTCGGCGGTTTATGATGTCAATATTTGTATCACCTCCGGCAGGTATCCGGTCAAATGATTCCCCGCAAAAGATACTCTCATCAAGCTGGAGCAGTTTTTTAGTGTATTGGGAATGGAACCACTTAGCTGATTGTCTCCTAAACGAAGATGATCAATGAATTTCAGATTCCCAAGCTCTCTGGGGATCGAACCACTTAATTCATTATCAGAGAGATCCAACATCAGCAGATTGGTGAGGTTACCTAGTGAAGTTGGGATTGGACCATGAAACTCGTTTTCCGACAAGTACAGCTCCTCAAGTGCAGTTAGTTTCCCCAACTCAGGTGGAATCTGACCCGAGACTTTATTGTTCCAAAGAGCCAAATACTGTAAGTTACTCAAATTGCCAAATGTACTGGGAACAGAACCCGTCAGCTGGTTCTCTATCAAATCTATCTCGCTAATGAACTTCAGATTTCCAAGCTCTCTTGGGATTGAACCACTTAATTGATTCCAATACAGGTACAGTTGTTGCAGATTGGTCATATTACCAAGTGAAGTTGGGATTGGGCCGTTAAGTTTATTGCCATACATAATCAGAAGCTCAAGTTCTGATAGTCTCCCCAACTCAGGAGGAATTTGACCCAAGAGTTTATTTCTGAAGAGAAACAATATCTTCAAGTTACTCAAATTACCTAAGGTTCCGGGAATTGGACCAGTCAGCTGATTTTCTGATAAATCTAATTCCTCCAAGAAGTTCAGATTGCCAAGCTCTCTTGGGATCGAACCAACTAATCGATTCTTGTAAAGATGCAGCAATTTCAGATTTGTGAGACTACCTAATGACTTTGGGATTGGACCGTTTAGGTCATTGCCCGATACGCTCAACTTCTGAAGTGCTATTAGTCTCCCTAACTGATCAGGAATATGACCAGAGAGTGTATTATTGAAAAGAACCAATTCTTTCAACCTAGTCAAGTTCCCAAAAGAAGGTGGAATTGGGCCTGTGAAATTGTTGTCATCCATGTAGATTTCCACAAGATTGTGAAGATTTCCTAATTCCGGAGGAATCGTACCAGAGAGTAGGTTGTCATAGAGGTACAAGTATTGCAACTTTTCCAGATTGGGCAAGGAATGAGCAGGGATGGAGCCTTGAAGATTGTTTGAACCCAATTCCAGATAAGATAGTGAGGTTAATTGTCCTATCTCCTCAGGGACTGAGCCAATCAACTGATTATAAGAAAGGTAAAGTTTCTGGAGATTCTTTAAGTGGCCAATTTCAGGTGGGATTTTGCCCAAAAAACGATTGCCTAACAATTCAAGATGTATCAGCTTGGAGAGGTTACCTACCTGCGGTGGGATGCTGCCAGAAAGTTCATTCATGGAAAAATCAAGATACTCAAGGTTAGGGAGGGAGAGAAATGGGAAACCGTGAAGTGTACCAGAAATATTTGACTCAGTGAGGTTCAGAGTATGGACACTTCCATTGATGCATGAAACTCCATACCAATTGCAAGGACTTCGGGTTCTTGAACCATTTGTAATTGGTTGATGAAGATGCCATGAACTTAACAGAGGGTTGCTTGGATTAAGAAGATTGGATTTCCATGTGAGAAGAGCTGCTGCCTCTGTTTGAGCAGAAGAAGGAGATGATGAATGAGCAGCTCCTTGAGAGCAACATAATGACAGGAAAACTAGAACCCAATGAAACATGATTTTCTGATACTCAAAAGCTCATCAAATGTGTAACGAATTTCTAGCAACTTTTATTATATCGTTGCGATTGGACACGGAATTGACCGGCCCTTTCTCAAGATCAATAACCTTGGACCCAGGGCATTGACTTTTCCACCAAAGAACCGGACCTTTTTTTGTCATACGGGTGTACTAGCAAGGTACATAATCATTTGTCTATTGTGGACTAAGAATTGGAATTCTTTCATTGTAATTGTAGTTTACAATTTACAAATGCTCAAATCATACTTTTCCAGCTGTGTTTGTGCGGTTCTGATGGGGAGTTGAATTGATCATCTTTTAGCAATTCAAAACACCGTGTTCGCAATTTGCTGATTTATTTTCAGAACATATCTCCAGCATTAATTGATGTATGATTGAGCGCTATCACGCTTATTTCCGCCAGCCGAATAAAATCCATGAGATTTTGTCTTATCAGATCGACAATCAAATTCTTAGCTATTGTGTTTCTAAATTAATTGATTCTATGGATTTAGGAAAAAAATTCCTTAGTCTTCATTGTTTACTTGCGATAGTTTAAGGAAAACAGAGTCGTCTAGTATCCACTTAATTAGTACGTTGACCAGTTGAGTGAGTTCGACAAGATTTGTTTTGCCTTCTCTGTTTGACTATTAGTATACCAAAATCTCCAACTGAGTTCACTTGCACAGATCTAAATTCTGACCATTTACTACTTAGAATGAAACTATGACTGTGACATTGATTTCATGTAAGTATATTTCAGAAATTGTTCTGAAATAAAAGGGCTATGTAAATGTGGAAAAACAACAGCGACAAAGGTGTCGACCTTTTTTTTTCCCGGTTCGACGTACATCCTTTGTCAGAATATCAGTAACTAATCGCGGTGTCCTACCCTCCAAGTGTACTAGTTTGAATTAGGCGCTTTAATGTCTTTCTTTGTAACCAAAAAAAAAAAAGAAAGAAAAAAAGAATATCAGTAACCAACCGATAAGATTATGGGGGTAGCTCCACAAGGTGGAAAATTGAGAACAGTGTGCTGAAAGTGATTTGGACACTTGGTTGGACACAGGTGAAGCTACAAAATACCCAAAGCCACATCCTGTTGTAGAGGGGAAGAAAGAACACATTAAAACCAACTTACTATAACAACTTACTATGCGGATCAAAAAAACAAAAAAAAAAAAAAACCGACTTACTATAACAACAAACAAATAGGAAAAAAAATATTTTTCTTTTTCCTTTTTTTTATTAGAATAAAAATAATATAAAACTAAGAATTTAAAAGGGAATGACTCTTGGGCAACCATACCAAAATTTTGACAAGTTTGTCGAGACCTGCAAAAATTAATCTGATAACCATTTTCATTTCCCACCACACTAGGCCGACTATATGAATATGTGTTATATCCTCCTCCATTGATGATTCTCAACTATCCATATAATCGTTCTTTCAAGATAATTGTTCTCGAAATGATTAACCAGTTATAGAAGACGATCAAAGATCAAATTCTTACATTGGTTTCCTTCCGGGTAGAGTCAGAGCAAAGTTTGATGATACAAAGTAATTAGATACATAACTGAACCACGTCCAATCATCTTTTGCATTTTGCCATTTTCCATACTTTTGATGGGCATCCATTTTCAGTTTGGGGCTGGAGATATTTGACTATATTATGCACTAATATAATCTTAGTGTCTTAATTAAATTCTTATTCCGTGTCTCTGTGGATGATGTAATTCAGATCTATTATCAGGATCTTTTGCCATTTTCTCCAATGTTAAAATTAAGAAATTATTGTAGCATGTTGTGAGTTGTGACTAAGTGATTTATCTAATGATCCAATTTATTAAATACAATAATTTTTATGTATGTGAAATTTATCATAACATTTGAATAATTGACTGAACTATTTAGTCAACTATGTAAATTTATGCATCCTGTGTAAGTTTTTTTTTTCGTATTTTGATTTTGATTTTTTTTTAATCGCCTACCGCAGTAATCTTTCATACTTGTTGAAGATTACATCAAGTTTAGGTTGGATTTGCAACATTATAATATCATGATCAAGTTAATAACTATTTATTTTATTTTGTTTGGGATAAGATTGTGAAGAGAATTTATACAAACGTTTAGCTATGTAGAACCGACCCTGGTCGTATTCAAATAATTATACTGACATATGCAAATGACCAAAATGATTTTCAGATTTCAGGTATACGTTAACTTTAATAGGTGTTTGTCTTAAGAAAGTGTTGAATTAAGGTTGCAATATAATCTACTGTGGCTCGGCCTGGAACCATCTTCGTCTTTCCACTTAAGAGCAGCTTCGGTTAGAGCAAAGCCCAAAATGACATATTCAAATAATTGTTTAGCTAATGATGGATTTTGCGCCATGGAAAGAATCAAAGAACTAAAAGCGTCGCCACTTACCAATATTGAGAACATATCCTGCTAAATTTTAATGATAAACTTAAAGAGTCTGTTTGTTTGGTTTTTATGGTTTTTTTCAGATTAATATATTAATAACTGTCCCATTTCAGCATACATTTTTTATGTTTTCAATATATCTTTTTGTATTTTTAATATGAAAAAATACTTAAAAACATACATTAAAAAAACAAACATACCCTAAATCTCGCAAGTGAACAGAAGTGATATAAACATACTAGTAAAAATGTAAATTCGTGTGGCGACAACTACAACTGAGTGTAAGACTTCCTCAAATAAATGGCAAAGACACTTTAAAATACGTGCAGCCCAAGGATTCATTACTACTACATTTAGATGATTATGATGCACAAGGAATGCATAGGGGTTGTGGCCAATGACCATTTCGGCATAATAATGGGAATGATCCATTTCTCGCTTTTATCCCCCACCCTCTTTTCCCTTTTGATTTAACTCCACATAATAGAGATAATGAATTAACAAGGACATATTGTACTATTGTTATTCATAAAATTCTCACTATGACTTTTAATTTAGTTAATAATATAAGCATATATAGTTTATGACAGCTTTTTTGTAATATTTTGTCAACTTATTGAAGTTTGTTACTGGATTATTTGAATAATAAAGTCTTTGTCAAGACCCAGTTAAACTACTACTACTATATGTGTAATAATACCTCGTCAACCATTTTATAGGTACATACATATCTGGGAGGAATTTTCGTTTGCTCCAAAGAAAATTAGGACAAACTTTTTTCCATTTCCTACTAATAATGATGCATCAAATACATACGGACAAAAAAGGTGTGACATTTAGCATGAAATTTATGATGAAGTTACAGAGTGAGGGTGGGGGAGGTGGAGGATTATTTGAAAATGGGTGGTGTGTCGGGGATTGAAGGCCAAAATGATTAGATTAAAGAAAGCTGAAAATGGTCTGGGTCGGGGGGGAATCAGCTTACTGCCATGTGGATTAGACTCCTCACTTCCCCCCCTGTTGGACTCCTTTGTCTACATCCCTCCCTACATCCCATGGTTCTTAATTTTTTTTTTAATTTTTTCTTTTTACTTTGCCATTTTTCATTTTAGTGTTCATTTATTTTCCAAGTAATTAGGCGACATCATGGTTTCAAACAAAAGATATTCAATAACACTTTTCCATTACACATCATTTATGAGTCAAATTTAAATGTGTCTATTGATTTTGCCTCTCAAGATTTTTTTTTTTTTTTTTGAAAAGAAAAAGTAGTGTTGGTATAGTATTATGGAATCTTTTGAGGTGTATATCATATTATATATTAATTCTAATTGTGTCTAAAAAAAAAAATCGCTTGTATTTCTACTATTTTCTAAAGGAAAAGGAAATAGACAGTGATGAAAGTTACTCTAAAAAGTTACAGCCTGCTGCCTATTTGCTAGCACTGTTAGTTTGTGTTAGGCTCTAATTACTCTAAAAAAAGGTATTAGGCTCTAATTACAAATTATTATAATTACTAAAAACACGCATACGCGCACCGCTGATCTAGGAGCCATAATTAAGCTAATCCATCAATCACAGATTCGAATTCCCTCCCCAGCACCCTGGCCAGAAAAACCAAAAAAAACGGACAGATGCATCCCTTATATTTAATCTGTAAGATCAATTTTGTAATTTACGTAAATTAATACAGGAGAAAAAGAATTAGGGGGTTTTAATCAAATAAAAAGGAGGTAAAAAAAAAGGAAGAATAGTAACTAGTGGGACCAAAACGTTACATTCAAGAAGATTACAGGCGAAACAACAGTTCCGGTTCATCCAAATAGATAAATCCTCGCAAAGCCACGAAACGACAAACGTCTATTCTGCCATTTTCCTACATATAACTTCTCTCCTCCTCCGCCTTTGTCTCCGTTGCATCTGTCTGGTCGGACAACTCTCTTCTTACTGTGTGACTGTGTGCGCCGAGAATATGCCGCCGCCGCCGCCGTCGTGAATATATACTAATAATAAGAACGAGACTGGCAATAGCAGTGTTCTAGAACCTGGTTCGATTCGAACTTAAGTGCGTGTGTGTGTGTGAGAGAAATGAGAAGTCATGGAAGCTGCATCGGTATCTCGGCCACCGCCGCTGACCGTACGACGTCGTCCCTCTCCGGTAACAACAACAGAAGATCATCTTCCTCATCATGCTCTCTCTCCAATTCCTCTGTTTCTTCAGGTCTGTTCATGGTGCCATACTTATATGTCTCTTCCATCTGTCTGTTTGTTTGTTTTTATTTATATATATATTTTTTTTTTCATTTTTCCGTTCTACTTAATTTCTAGTTGTACTTATACTGCGCTGTGACTGGGATCTGCTGAATGCTTTTTGATTTTTTTTCCATTGGACTGTGTTTTGTGGCTGGATATTTTTAGATTCTTAAGTAAGTATGCATCTTTTGAGTATGGACTATTGACAATTGAGTTCGGGCGATCATGTTGTGAAATTTTTTTTTACTGAAATCCCAATACTAACTGAAAGGAATCCCCATTGTAATATCCACGATCATATTCCACATATTGAAATCAAATTTTGGTATCTGTAAGTTCGTTCATTGTGGCTGATCAAGTGATCATGTAACGATTACCGCAGCACTTAAAAGGATTCAGTGACGGTTCTTACTCCGCATATTGTCAAAATCTTTTGTTGAATGATTATGATCAGCTTACTTGTCGTATATAAGAATTCTGAGTAATTTATCACTCGTTCTGGGTATGGTCTTTTTTTCTTTTTTTTTTAGATAGAAGTTTTGATTTCGTATAGTTTTTGTATGTAAACTTTTGCAGTGAGGCTATTGTAAGAATGAATTTTTACTTGGTTGTACACTTTGCTTAGTTCGAAGTACTTCTGAATTGAGTACATGTGTTAGTTGGCTAGGTCTGAAATCCCATAGGTTGAATGCAGATTATGCAACTTGCGGGTCACCAATGTGGATGGGGAAAAGCCTCACTTGTGTTTGCTTCAAAAGGAAAGGAACTCATGACCGCATCTTCTTCACCATGTCACCGACCCAGGCAAGTCTATTAATCTGCTACATACAATGCTTGAAAGGGTTTTGATCAAATTTATATTTTGACTTTCAATCCTGATCTAACATGAGAAATGCAAGAAGCATCGTAAGCATAGAGTGCCTCTTTTTGGTTTTGAACGTGTTGATCGTTCCAAACTTCTATTCAGTATCTTACTATCCTTCTGTGGGGCATTGCAGCAAGATAGATACAGGAGGTTAAAACATCGAATGAAGATATGTTTTGATGCCTCCAAACCAGAACATCAGGTTTGCATCATTTAACGGTCTTCTTGTTTGAGACTTGTTATCAGACCAATAATGACTACCGTTGTCCTGTTTATCTGTCTTCCCCAATTCCTTCTAGATGACTTCATTGTTATGTGAAGTAAAGTAATTATCAGCTTTCATTTTGCGACTAAAGAGTTTTTATGCAACTCATGCTTCATTTTTGGAATGGCAGCAAGCTTTAAGAGCTTTATGGCATGCCACGTATCCTGAGCAGGAGTTACATAGTTTGGTATCTGATCAGTGGAAAGAAATGGGATGGCAGGGTAGAGATCCATCCACCGATTTCAGGTTTTCCATACTTGTTTTCTTTTATTTTCAATTTCCATCTTTTGTCATGCTGTATTCTCCACCCATTACTGGTGTTTTACTACCAGGGGAGCTGGATTTATATCTTTGGAGAACTTGCTTTTTTTCTCCAAAACATTCTCAGTAAGTTCTTATCGAGTTTGAGTCTCAAGTCTTATTTCATTCTTGTTTTGCTTTAATGTTACTAACAGGCAATTACTTCATATTGAGTTTGAGAACAGTACATGGATAACTAATTTATGTTTTTTATGGTTGTTTTTTTCTGGTAGACATCTTTTCAGCAGTTATTGAAGAAGCAAGGTGGAAAAAGAGCTGCCTGGGAGTATCCATTTGCTGTTGCTGGGGTAAATATAACATTTATGATCATGCAGATGCTGGATCTTGATGCCTGTAAGAAAGAACTTTTATGGTTAACTAATGTGACAATTGAAAAACTTATGCAACTGATCCATGTAATTTAGGCATGGTTGCTGATTAATCTAATCAACTGTGTTATGCAGTAAAACCTCGGACATTTGTGAGAGCAGTTTTCCTGCAAATGCTGTCAGGTAAGAAAATTTCTAATCCTTGTGAAAGGTAAACTATCAGCCCTTGATCACAGAATAGTTTTGTCAAGTTTCTGAGATTTTAAGGAGCTTTTTGCACATTTTCCAGAGAATGAGTGGGCATTTGATCTTCTTTATTGCGTGGCTTTTGTTGTTATGGACAAGCAGTGGTTGGAAAGAAGTGCAACATACATGGAATTCAATGTAAGTAGGAGCAACAACATCTTCTAATAAAATTAACTTCAGGAACATTCATCTGTAGACTGCAATTGTTTTGCTTTGGTCTGTCTTGTTCTCTTTTCCCATTCAAAGAAGCATGGCTTGTTCAAGTGGTTATATCTACATACTTTCTTGGACAGGATGTGTTGAGATCAACTCGGTGTCAGTTGGAGAAGGAACTGCTAATGGATGATGTTCTACGAATCGAGGACATGCCTTCTTACAACCTCCTCTGCTGATTGTAACTAACACTATTCAAAAATTTTGGCTCAGAAGTTAATATATTTGTAGTTTTTGTTTCGTTTTCCTTTTATTAATCTAGATTGGACATGTTACTTTATCGATTATCCTTAAGTGGGAGTATCAAATTACTTTTGCGTAGCTTCTTTAATATAAGAATAAACAAAAGTGATAACTTTTAAATATTAGGTATCATAATTGACATGAAAGTTTTCAATCCTTAAGAAAATAAAAAGAATTTTTATTAGAAAAATAGAATGAATTATATCCAAAAAATACATTAAAGATTATTCTATGTCTTATAGTCACTGCAAAATGCCAAAATATTTTTGTGCTTTTTTTTCCAAGGTGTATCACGTAAGATTTTTGGGGAATAATTTTTTTTTTTTTAATGTAGAACCAGTAAGTTAGGAACAAAATGAATTCTATTTTTGATCAGTACGTTAGGAACAAAATAAATTGTAAGTCTTATCTAGAAATCATAAACAAAACTTCAGAATTCATTACTCTAATCATTTATTTTATCCTTTTACAATTTATAACAAGTGGTAGAACAACAAAAATCATTATAAATGATATGATTTAGTTTAGTATTGCTTCTTCTTTGTTTTTTGAATTTTTATATAATACAGGTTGTATTTCAAAATATTTTCAATATTTTAGGTATATTTTTGAAAAATTTGGAGTAAGATTAACACTTTTCATTTGCAACGCCATGAGTCATTTGCTTAATAATTTTCATTTGCAATTGTAGGGGTCACTTCGTTAAAAGGGGCCTTGATGGGTTCATCTGATTGATTATGGGATTAGTAAAAGTTTTAGAAAAGGAAAATAATTATTACATTAAAAAAAAACAAATTTTATATGGTAGTTTAAAAAGTGTCGTAGGATTGTAACATAGGATATCATTAGCCAATCGTCATTTAATTAAGATTTTGACAAATAAACCCACGAGTTCATCTAATTATGAGTTAGGGTGTTAGTATAATTATAATTGTATTTAGTTACACAAATTGATCGCTTTAAATGTATTTTCATATATTAATGTATCTTAATTCAGTATCGTGAAAACATTAACAATATCTTCGTTAATCTCATTTATTTTGAAACCTTAAACCTAACAATCATTGATATAAGTATTTATCATTTACACTCACATCAAAATTAATAACATACGTTAACACTTAGATTACGAAACCTTAATTGACTATGATCAGAATATTGGAACAACGTGAATATGACTTTTAAGGATTAGAATATCCGCGGTTCAAGTATTAAACAATGACATATAGTTCCAATTAAGGTTATTTTTTCATCAAAAAAAATTAAGGTTATTTAATCTTATGTTTTAAAAAGTTTGAGGATCAAAATAATTGAATATTTTTTTAAAAAAAATTCATTACCTTCTTATGGTTGTTCTTATTCATTTCAATTTTCATGTGACATGCATTTTTAGGATTTTTTACCAAAATTTTGATACAAACTATATTTTTAAATTTTATCGGTACAGGCTTTGATGTACTTTTTCGGAATCTAACTCCACGTTTTATCCACTTAAAAATCATATAAATAGATTAAATTAGATATGTTATGAACAAAAGAGATTAGAAAAATGAAATGTAAGGTACAACATTCCCAATGCAAATACTTTGTAATGGATATGATTCAAGTACATTTAGTCACATGCTTTGATAAGATTTAGAAAAAACACTAGATTTTTTTTTTCATTGTATTATTGATGTATATTCTTATTTCATTACCATGTCTTTGATATATATTTTTAGATTTTCTGACGAAAATTGCATAAATTATAATTTAAGATATTTTCCCACACATGCCCATAATTTATTTTTTGAAATCTGATTCATATTTTTGTGTCTATTACGTCATCGATTTTCTGATATTTTTTTAATATGATTTCTTCCTTTTCTTTAAGTTCTATTTTTTAAATTTTACTTTTTTACAGTTGTTTTTTTTTTCTTTTAAGGAACTAATTACTTTAATAATATTCGACTTTTATGACTCAAGAACTACCACAACTGAAGCAACGTACTACCATGTTGTGGTTTGTCCCATGTTGTGGTTTGTGTATCATACAAGATTATAATTTTTGAAATGGTAATTTTCCTATGCAAACTATAAAAATTTCAGCAAACTATATTGGAGAAAAAGTATTCATCTTTTGAATTTTATGTAGTCTAATAGACAAAAGGTTCACATTTAGAGTGCATTGAAGACAAATCTCATTTGTTCTTTATTTTCCTATAATAATTAAATAAGAGACGCAAAGATTAACTTTCATTTATAGAAAGAATTTTATTGAGTACTAACTTTACATTGTATCCTGCAAAATAAAAAAATCAAAATATGAAAACAAAAGTTATAATACAAAAAACAAAAAATCTATTATTTAGTTTTTTTAACAATAACATAATTTACATTGTAGTAATGCCAGATAATCAATTTATGATATAGTTCGAAACTGTTTTTGAGTATATTTTAATCATTTCCATCATTCAATGTTGACACTTATATCAGAAACAACAATAATGGAGACAGTGAAAGATATATGGTGAAAATACAAAGAGAATGATGTGTATATATAATTAGGGGTAAAAATATAATTTTAATAGAAAAAATTCTATAGTAAAGTAACAATAAATTAAGGGATACACGCCAGTCACTATTTTTTCACTGTACATTTTCACTACCCATATCATTTTTCTATCATAAATTTACAATTATAACTCCAAAATTAAAATAGTTAACTGTAATAACACATCTTTTGTAATAGTACGACATCAAATTTTTTCTAATAGTAGTAAGTAATTTCCAAGTCACCAATTCCGTTACACAATGAGGTCTACGAGGAAGAAACAATTATTACCGGTGAAAAAAGACTTTTTCCTCTCTAATAATGTATAAAACAACACAAACCATAAATTTATAACCTTCCATATTTTTATCAGCTTTATAGGCAGAATGCTTATTGTCCATTACATACCCCCTAAGAATCATGTTGGTTTTCCAACAACCTCGGAGATTCCAATTATTTACTACAAAGCAAAGGAAAACTCCATTATATTTCATCTACTATATAAAAAAAAAAAAACCCCCCGCTTCATATATATTCTCAATCAAAGATAAAGTTGTGAAAGAAACATATCAAGATGAAGAGCCTAATTGTCTCAACCCTGGTAATCGGAGTTTACATCTTCTTCATTTTCCAAGCTCCAAAAGTGAAGGCATGGCAGGAACAGTATCAGGTTCAGATCAAGAATGACATCAACGATTCACTTCCATTGGGGTTGCAGTGCCATTCCTCGGAAAATGACCTTGGTTCCCATACACTGTATAAAGGAGGAATTTTCAAGTTTCACTTCGGAATAAATTATTTCTTTAGCACCAAGTTCGTGTGCGACGCCCAGTGGAGCGGATTGAAGGCCAGGATCTACGTTTTCAACAAAAACTTGGCCAAAACACATTGCGGCAACGATCTTGGTCGGAACTGCTGCTGGTCCGTTCGGAGAGATGGTTTTTTCATTGGTAGTGCTGAGTATGCGCCGCATTTTGAGAAAGTCTATGATTGGGGTGCTGGTTATTAAATACTCCCTCCTCCGACACACAAAAATAGTCCAGTTTAATACAAAATTCTGTTCCAAAAAAATAGTCCAGCTTCACAAAAGTCAAAAATTAATTGAATTGAAATGACTTAAATATCCAAAAAAAGTAGCGATAAGGAAAACAAGGTTCACTTCCTTTGATTTTTATTTTTTTTAGTTTTCTCTTATTTTTTCAAATGATTATATCTTTTAATATATAAATAATTAAAAAATGTGTTATATATCAAATTAATGTATATAACGAGATCTTTTCATCAAGATCCATTGTCAATATTTTTTGAGATAAAAATTTTGATCAAATTTAAGTTGTAAAATAAATGTATATGTAGTTAAGTTTTATAGAAATAACTAGAAGGGGCATTAGTGGAAGTTAGGGGCATAAAATGAGTTGTACATTTGGTGTGTTGACTAAATTAAAAAAGTTGTATTATTTTTCTAGGACGAATGGAGTATTTAAATTCATATAATACTTGATCGGTCCCAGTACATATTTGCGGCCCTAAGAATATAAAATAAAACTAATAATTAAGAAAATGATACTAATTGTGTTGATTATATTCATCGATTTTTTAAAAATTCACAAAATAGTAAAGAAAATAAATATTTTTTGGCATACTGTACAGAATTCGAGTTTTACAAATACGAACTCTTAACAAAGTTCTTGCGTCTAATTTTTCGTTAACCTATTGAAGTTGACAGCGAAGTCGACATGTTATTTTATTTTATTTTATTTTTTCTTTTTGATTACGTATTTAAAGATTGTGTTTTTCCAATTTTTCATCCTAATTTTTTTTGTGTGAGAGAAAATTTTAAGTTTCATCACTTTTTATAGCATATTAACATTTCGTGTAAAAAACGATATAAAATAAAACAATTCAATATATAGAGTTTCCCTATTGGTTCATATTGTTAAAATCACTTAATTAGGATAAATTTGTTCAATTTTAATGTATTAGATTAAAATTGAATAAATTTATCTATCCCAATTTATTTATCATTAAAATTTCTCTATTGTTTTGTGGATATTTACAAAATCTATGAATATAATCAACACAATTAATATTTTTTTTTTAATTATTACATTTAGTTTATATTATTAGGGCCACAAATATGTGTTGGTACATATCTTGCTCGAAATTTTTCAAAGTACACTATATTAAAAAATATTTTGAAATACAACCGCTATTCTATAAAAATTGAAAAAAAAAAGAAAGAAGAAGAAGTAATACTGAAGTAAAGCATTTCATTTATAACACTTTTTGATGTATTACCACTTGTTATAATGTTTAAAAAGGATCAAATAGATGAATAGCGGAATATATTTTGAAGCTTTGCTTTTGTCTTTGTAGATAAGATTTAAAATTTAATTTGATTCTAACTTACTGGTTCTACATAAAAATAAAAATAAAAAACCATTCCCCATAAACCTTACATGATACACCTAGGGAAAAAACACAAATAATATTTTTGCATTTTTTCCATTGACTATAAGACATATAATAATCTATTACATATCTCCTTAATATAATTTATTCTATTTTTCTGAAAAGAAAATTCTTGATGATTGAAAACTTTCCTGTCAGTCATCATACCTAATATTAAAAGTTACCACCTTCTTTGATTCTTACATTAAAGACATGAGGAACTGATAAACATAGACTAAGGTGATAAAATGCTTCGTTTGTTACGAAATAAAATTAACTCGTTTTGAGGAAAAAAAATTATACTTTTAACGCAACAAAAAAAGTTAGTTCACTTTGAATTTAGATGTTTTTTTAATATTTTTATTACGAATCTCAAAATTATATATTGATTATTTAGTTATCTATTTTGGACATGTTACTTTATCGAATATTAGGATCAATATTATGTATTAGATTAAAATTGAACAAATTTATTTATCCCAATTAATTGATTTTTACAGTATGAACCAGTAGGGGAACTCTATGTATTGAATTGTTCGACTAGTTTATATTTCTTTTTACACAATATTCTAATATACTATAAAAAGTAATGAAACTTACAATCATTTTCTAACACAAAAAAAAATAAATAAATAAATAAAATATTAGGGTGAAAAATCGGAAAGACAAAATCTTCAAATACATAATAAAAAGAAAAAAAATAAATTGTATATATCATTCGTCGACTTTATTGTCAACTTCAATAGGCGGACGCAAACCTTGACGCATGAACTTTGTTAAGAGTTCGCATTTGAAAAACTCAAACTCTGTATAGTTTGCCAAAAATATTTTTTTATTTACTATTTTGTAGATATTTACAAAAGTTTTACATGATATACTCGGGAAAATGCACAAACAATATTTTGGCATTTTGCCATTGACTCTAAGACATAGAATAATCTTTAACGTATCTTTTGAATATAACTCATTTTATTTTTCTAATAAGAATTTTTTTCGTTTCTTATGTTTGAAAACTTCCATGTCATTGATTGTATCTAATATTTAAAAGTTACCATTTTCATTTATTCTTGAATTAAAGATACGCAAAGGTAAATTAATACTCCCACTTAATGATATTCGATAAAGTAACTTGTTCACTTAAGAATAATCTATTTTTTTGAGATGGAGGGAATGTATACAAATGGGATGTAATTAACTGCATGTCCTCTAATATATGTGAACTAAAGGGGTGGGTGGTAGGTGGAAAAAACCAGATTTTCTTATTCCTTGGTCACCGCCAGTTTTTTCTTTCTAATGTAAAACTCCGTGAATAAATTAAGCTCGCAAAGTACTTGGCTAGGGTTTGATGCGGTGGTTGAAATAATACGGATAGAGATTAGGATTCTTTTGTTAATGTAATTTTAATTAGTTTAATTAGGGTTTTATTTTTGTATCATTTTCCCTATTTAAATGGTATTAGCCGTCTCGTAGTAACACAGTTGTTGATTTATAAAAATATTGAGAATTCATTTCTTTTTTCTTGAATTACTAGTCCGATTTATTGGTGAGATTTTTGACGCCTTAAAGAACGGGTATTCGTTCGTCGAATCAATGGTGTTTAAAAGGGTTGTATTACGAGAGGTTCGTGTTAGGGTTATAAGTTTGGGCTTCCGCTGACTGACTGCATCGATAAAACTCCTACTGCTCTCCATTTTATCCTCGTAACCGAACTTGTTCTTCTCGTAATGGGATGAAGTATTTGTTATTCTCCAGAAGGGAATCTTACTCGCCCAGCTCTTTGTAATACTTTGGGTATTATTACACTCTTGAACAATTTTAATCCGTTGGATCGGAGAGTAATATTTTGCATATTAGTACTTTTTTAAAAAAAAAAAACTATTTCGATCTGTGAGATCGGAGAGTTAAAAGGGAAAATGATGTTAAACATTTACTCCGATGAACCTTATTCTATTAGAAGCTCAGAGAGGTGGGATTGCCAGAGGTCAAATGTGCTACAGTCGGGACGTTACTGATTAATCCGAAGAAAAGGAACACAATAAGGAACAAACGTAGAGGCAAGGCGTAAATATGGTTGCTATACAAAATTTGACCACGTCCATATACTATTACTTGGTCTTGTTTTCCGGATATATCGAGGACAAATCTTTATTCACAATAAGATCTAACTTTATGCAGTAAATCACTAAATTGCTATGTGTTTGTACAATTTTCGAGTGTATATACGTTCGATTCCTCTACTTTCTGATGATCAATCCCCATCATGTTTATGTGTTTATGTACACATAGCCGTTTATCAATGCAGAGAATGATTGATGGCAGGAAGGAGAAGTGCAGCCTGTTACAAGCATCACATTGCATTACACCTTTAGGGTGTGAGGTTGCTTAGGAATCAAGTCAATTTGTTGTAATAATAATAAAAAAAAAAAAGCTGCACAAGATGGGGCATAAGCATTCGCAATAAAAATCATATGCCATCTGAAATCAAGAACTTCTTTTCCACATTTTTGCAGCTAATTAAGCAGAAATGTGGATAACCATCAAACGAGGTAAAGAATCACACCTGAAAGTGAAGTCTTGGAATTGAAGATTCAAACGAGCTTCTCTGTCTCTTTTCAGCTTACCTGTTTTGCCTTAACTTTCAAGCAAATATTCACACCTACAGTACTAGCTACTACCCAGTACCCACCTTCACTATGTTTCTATCCCTTTGTCTTAGCATCATTTAGTTCTTACATAAAACCACCTCGTTACAAAATCACTGAAACTTTGAGAAAAGAAAACAGGGAAGGAGTCCGTCTCCCTGGGATGATCATGAACCAGAATTAAACTACTTTTGGTTTTTTTGCTCATTCATTACCAATGGGATCTTTGCAATCACCAGATGGGGAAAAACAGCCAAAAAGCTCCCTGTTGTTGGAGAATTCATGTGGATATTTGCTTCAGGAATTACAGGCGAGTCTTTTTTCTGTATATTGCTTATAATGTGACTGATTAAATTAATGAACTTATGCATGGTTGTTTATTTAATTACTGTAACTAAACAGATGATATGGGATGAAGTTGGAGAAGATCAATTTGAGAGGGAAAAAGTTCTATTGGATATCGAACAGGAATGCCTGGAAGTTTACCGCAGAAAAGTTGACAATGCTAACATTTCAAGAGCCAGGTTGCATCAAGAACTGGCTGATGCTCAGGCAGAGTTTACTCATCTCCTACTGTCACTTGGCGAAAGGTCACTCCCAATGAGGGTAACTATTTATTTTCTTCGCCTTTTTTTCAGTAATAATATCAGCTTCCATTTTATTTACAGAATCAACCCGCTTGCACTCATATAGTACAATATGAATAAATGACCAACTAGTGACTAAACCTTTGTAGTTTATACATTGATAGGCGGTTATAAGGTTATACATACATTCTGCTTATTGGAACTGCGCCTAAATAGCTAACCATCAATTTCTGATTTCTCCATATTAGCCAAGCAAATAGTAGGTTGTGTTGCATACTATTGAAATCTTTTAAAGATTAAATGAATAAGCTTAAATCACCTAATGCGAAATGACAATATATAATAGTTTGGGACCATGACATCTTTCTGGAATCTAAGCATAGGTGAAAAACAGGTTGTGATCTGCAGGCAAGAAGGAGTTGCAGATCGATTTTACAACCAGCTAATAATAATTAATGATGCTAAACTAAGGGACCTTTTTTCCCCCATGAACAGCCAGAGAAAATGACTGGAACATTGAAGGAGCAGCTCAATTCAATTAGTCCAGCTCTAAGAGAGATGCAGTTGAGAAAGGATGAAAGGGTCAAACAATTCCGAGCTGTACAGTCACAAGTTCAAAAGATCTCAGCAGAAATAGCAGGTCGATCAGAATACAATGACACATCCTCAACTGTTGTAGTAAATGAAAGTGATCTTTCACTTAAGAAGCTAGAAGAATACCAGAACGAGCTTCAGAGACTTCACAATGAAAAGGTAGTAGGCCTAAGAGTGGCGATTATAATGCATAGATAGCATTCAAATATCATAAATTAAAAATAACAACAACAGAAGCATCACATATGGTTAAAGTTGACCTTTTTTTTACTTCTCTTCTCAAACTATTGGCATCAATACAGAGTGACAGGCTCCAAAGGGTTGAAAAATACATGAGCACAATTCAAAATCTGTCAGCCACACTTGGTATGGATTCATCCATGATTATCACAAAGGTTCATCCTAGCTTGAATGCATTGTCTGGCCTTTCAAAGAATATAGGTGATGCCATCTTGGCAAAACTACACAGCACAGTGGAATCACTGGAAACAGAAAAGCAAAAACGGCTAGAAAAGGTATGACACCGGCCTTGTCTTTTTTGGTTTGTTAAATCGTTCTCGGTTCAAGATTTAAACCATGTTGTAGATGATGATATTTGTGAAGACAATACAAACTTAAGGGGAGAAAAGTAAGCCAAAAGGCCAGCTGACATATCTTTTTACTGATTGGGGTCTATTTATTTTTATTTTTTTTTCCCTTTAAACAGCTTCAACAACTAGGGAAAACACTGATAGACTTATGGAATCTAATGGATACTCCCTATCAAGACCGTGAACGTTTTTCACATGTCACTAGTTTATCTTCTGTTTCCTCATCTGACCTATGCAGTCCTGGAAGCCTCACCCTCGACATAATCCAGAAGGTTTGTTTTTCTATACTCTTAAAACTTCTAGGGAGAGTGCCGAGAGTCAAACTCACATTGCCTTGATTTATTCGTCTATGTTTCCATTTTTGTTATATAAGGCCGAGGTCGAAGTCAATCGGCTAGATCAATTAAAAGCAAGCAAGATGAAAGAGCTTTTCCTCAGAAAACAACTTGAACTTGAAGAGATATGCAATCAATCACACATGGAAATCCCTTCAAGATCAGAGATGGAGAATATGATGAAGCTCATAAATTCAGGTTGGTAACATAAATGCATCTTTTCCTCCAATTACTACAGTCACTTAACTTAATTACCTATATATTGTGTTAAAAACTAACTGGCAAAACTCATATACAGGAGAGATTGATCATGCTTATCTCCTGATGAGCATGGATGCGCAGATATCTAAGGCAGAAGAAGAAGCCTCTAGTCGGAAGCCAATAATGGAAAAAGTAGAAAAATGGATATTAGCAAGTGAAGAGGAACGGTGGTTAGAAGAATATAACAGGGTGAAGCTTTCCTACTTTTCCTGTAAACATAATAATTTCCTACTGCATCTATACTTAAATAATTGCTGTCTTTCCCTAAAATTCCTAAACTCCCAAAAACCTTTTCCAGGATGAGAACCGATACTCAGTAAGCAGAGGTGCTCACAAGAATCTGAAAAGAGCCGAACGTGCCAGATTGATGGTTAACAAAATACCAGGTGTGAGACACAAGATTTGTATAAGATACAAAATTTACACAACTCTTTGTAATGACTTTCATGTTTTAAACACCTAAATTTCTTTTACTGCAGCCCTCGTAGATCTGCTCATAGCTAAGACTAAGGACTGGGAAGAAGAAAGGAAGAAAATGTTTCTATATGATGAGGTAAGCTAGGTGTTTTCTGCTATCCCTTAGGGAAAATAATATGAAAAGAGAGAAAACTTGCAAGAAATTAGTGTCCAAAACCAACAACTTCATTTCGACTCTAAATTAAATGTATTCTCTTTCTAGGTTCCACTACTGGCAATGTTGGAAGAGTATAACAACCTGAGAAAGGAAAAAGATGAGGAAAAACTCAGGCAGAGGGTAAGGACCTACACTCCTAGAGTAATAAATTCTGTCGTGTATAATTCTAAAAATGCAATCAAAATAGGAATCATGAAAGAAATTGGTAAATGGCAGAGGTGTCACCAATGTGCCAACCAAAATAGTTGTGTTAGTAACCACAAGGATTCACTGTGATTTTTTCCCTGTGCGTATCAAAACTCCGCAAATCAAACAGCATTTCACGGCCTAGAACTCTACTTTTTTCTCTACAGGAAAAAAAGAAGATACAAAGCCAAGTAAATGCAGATCAAGGGAATGCATTTGGGCCAAGGCCAAGTACTGCCAGCAGGCGTTTCTCAGATGGAGGTTTTGGCTATGAAAGTCCAGCAAATACCAGAAGGCTTTCAACAAATTCACAACTTTCTGGCCAAGGACCTAACACCTTGACAATTTCCACAGTTCATGCAAACAACATACCTTTCAACAGAGGAGTGAAAAAACCGCTTAGAGGACAGAGAACATTTTCTCGAAACGGATTCGCGTCCCATTTAAGAGATGATACAGCTTCAGTAGTCTCCTCCTTTTCTGGACCAAGATCTCCATAGTTATTCTGCATTGGGAGAAAAGCATGATAGATAAAACTAATGTGTTCTGTTTCCTTTCAGAACATAACTTATGTGTAGACTTAATATAATGAATCATTAAAAGAAGTTGGTGTTTACAGTTAAACCCGTGCCAAACTAGAAAGGATTTCATTACCAACTCGAAGCATAAAAGGCATAAAAAGAATTGGAGCCAATTCTCAGTTTAGTGCACACAAAATACGAACAATTCCCTAATAATAATCGATCCTATCCCTTAGGTTTGCCATCAAAATACGAATACATCCGGATTGCAATCCATCAGCATCATTGTCCTCTAACACTGACGTTTCTGGAACGGAAGATGGAACTATTTTCCACCAAACATACAAATGAAAATGATAACAATTATTCATCCGATAATTGAAGCAACCATACCATTCCATTGAAACAGAAACAGTCATCAGATCGGGAGAGGGGTCTTCTTCGCATATGATTAATTACACACCTTTAGAGCTGTTTGACAAAACGACCAAACGAAAATCCTAACTGCACTTATTGAAGAAAGCTTCAATCCTACGCGTCCCAGCGGGAGGAGGCTTCGGATCTGAGGACGGTCTTTTGGAGATTTGATCGGACGGCTGAGGTGCAGCAGGCAGGGGAAGCGAATCGAGGAGGAAATCGCTAGTCGGCTGGTGCCTTCTGACCGCGATTCTCAAATGCTCAAGCTTGATAGTCTTCTTCTTCTTCTCCAAGGCGACTTGAGCTGATTTCTCGGCCAGCAATTGCAGAAACAGTTCCGTTGATGCGGAGACCAGGAACGCGGCTTCTGAATTGATTTTCTTCACTTCCTTGTCGAGTTTCATGATTTTCTTCACCCTGTGTGTCGGAATCCAGCAGGCGAGTGGTCGGTGGGAAACTTCATCGGCGGTGGAGTTCGGTTCTTCTTCTTGTTGATCTGCCATTTGATAACGCCGGGACTGCAACGGCAGCGTTTTGATGTGGAGTTAGGATTAATTAAGCGGCCTTCGTCTTCGACCAATCTTATACAGTTTCGGATGGCGGGAAATCCTGCGTTTCCACTGGCGGGAATTTCTTCAAAGAGTAAAAGGATTTGGTGCTGGACAATCGCTAATGGGATTAATATGAGCGGCCCATAAGGCATCCAAAAGTCCAAAACAAACAATTTTGGCCCATTTATAATGTAGTGCTTAATAAGTCCATCATCCTGATAATCGCCGACTTATCTGTCTCTGATAATATATATATAAGACGTCGTCTCATCGAATCGCGGGAGACCTTTCCCGGCGGCGAAGAAGTTACCGGAGCTAATCCCGAACTCCTATTTACATACTTTGTTCACATTAGATACATCATCAGTCTTCATTTGTCGTTATTAATTGCAGTATAATAATGTAATTATCAAAGATGATTTTTTTGCCTGATAATTTTTACTTGATTTTTCAAGATGAAGATAAATCTTCTTTGTAATATCATAAGATTGATGTGAATGGTATTTTTTTTTTGGGTATGATGAAGGAGGTCCTCAGTTAAACGGCCACCAACTCCGGATGTAGAAGAAGAGGAACAAGATCGTCAACCTAGCCTTCAAGAGATCATTAACCTCAAGGTTCCTCCTTTTTCTTTTGAGTACTTTTAAGATTCTGATTTTTGGGGTGTCAGCTAGTTAATAGTTGTATGGTGTGAATTCGTTGATTTTAATTCCTTCCGTTTGGTGTGTAGTTTGCTGAGAGTGGAGAAAAAGAAAGATTGAAGGAGCTTTTGAGGGAAAGGCTTATAGAATGTGGATGGAAAGATGAGATGAAATCTCATTGCAGGTACTTGTTCTGAAACTGGGTCTGTTAATTTGATGTTTTTCCCGTAGTGTTAATAATTTTGAAGCTGCTGAAGCTTATGTTTTAGCCTCCCTGTTTATGAGTTGCTTGGACGACTTATGCCTAATTTGAGAGAATTTGCTAAGGAATGGAGTTTCAACCTCCTGTTGATTATTTCTGAACTTACATGTTTCTAGTAGATCCTATCGTTACATTTGTTTAAGAAGTCACTAAAGATGGATGGGTTTCGCCATAAAGTAAATAATTAAACTATACCGCCGCAAACTATAATCTGCATTGTAATGTAAAATGGTTAGATTTTGCAAGTATAGAGGCTGAAGAAGGAGTGAGCCAGAATAGTGCTTTAGTGTACTTTTGTTGGCTGTGGTCTGATGAATTTGTGGAATTGAAAGTTGTGGATACTGGTTTGTTGTAACAATTTCTATTTTCGAAGCTAAATGTTATTATTTTGCCGCTTAATAACTTTATCTCCAAAGATTTATGTATTAGTTCCTCCGTCCTGTGGGGAATTGTATTCATATGTGATGAGGGTGCTTATGAAGCTTTTGAAATTTGATCAATTTTCTCTGTTTTCAGGGCACAAAATAAAAATTAAAAATGTCCACGGCTTAGCTGTTTAACTGTTTGCATCATATTTAAAATGTGTTCTACTTTATTACGGAAGTAAAAGATGATTAAGTTTTCTCTTGCCATCTTGCTTCCTCTCATACTGATATGACCTTTCTGTTTCCAAACAAGGTCATTTGCTAGGAAAAGAGGACGGAATAATGTTACTGTGGATGATCTTGTTCACGTCATAACCCCAAAAGGAAGAGGTGCATTCGTTTACTTGTTTATTTTGTAACTTTTGATTCTATATGACTGCAATTTTTATCTCATCTATTGTTGTTCTCTATTTTTCTTTCTTTGGTATTTAGAGAGCCAAATCTTTACTTTTTGTCAGGGACTATCTTTTGGGTTTTTTAGAATATATTGATAGTGTAACATTTGGCATTGTTCTTCTCAACGACTTCTCCTTTCTTGCTTAAATTTAATTTTCAACTTATAAGTTTCTTCAGTCAGGCTTTGCTGTAGTAGATAGGATGCTTCCTTAATATGTTTGCTGTATTTCATTAATGCGGTTGATAATTAAATATGAGATTTCTTGTCGGTGGCCTTCACACCTTGGTTGAACAAATTTAGTCACATATAATGACAAAGTAAGTTAATGATGAAGAAAAAGAAATTCATTCTGGCGATGGTGGTGCTATGGGATTTTGCCTTTGTTCGCATGCTATACTTGAGGATGAAGGAGTTGTTCCTTACAACCGAGTGTTTGGCCCATAATGTTAATAATTAACCAATTGCTGATGACTGCATGGAGATTCACATTCATGTCCACCTGCCTAGTTTAATGTGTGTTTACATTTCATTTTGCCAGCATCTATTCCCGATTCAGTGAAAGCAGAGCTGTTGCAGCGTATCAAATTGTTTATTGAGTCCGTTGCTGTTTAAATTTTGCCAATACATAGAGATCAGAGATTGAAAAGCTGGCCGGAAAGTATCAGAATTCAGAAAAGGCCATATGATAAGATGTACATGTTGTCGTTTTGAGTTTGTCATGGGGATGTCTCTACCAGTACATGAACTGGAGTAAAGGGTAACTACCTTCATTTTCAGATCTCTGCGTGTCAATGCTTGATCAAAAAGGGTGATTTTCCTCTGTCCATTTAGGAAAAGTGTAATTGTGAGTTCGCATAGAGTCAAATTGTGAACTGGCAATGTTGGAGAACCTATCCTTGGTATTAACTTCAGTGATGTCTCTTGTGATTATATGTTTCTCTTTTTTTCTTTTTTCTTTCTTTTGTTCCCTCCCGCTCTTCTTTTCTAAGGGTGCATGGATTTGATTGATCAGTCTTGTAACTGCGTTTGTACAATGTTGGGCTGTGCTTAGTATCTTTTATCTTTAGGCACCTACCAATGTTTCGTGTAGTAGTATTTCATCAGGCTTGAAGGATTCATCTTTGGGCAATTCTATTTCTACTTCATCTGAAGTTTTCACACTGCCTCCATATACAATGTGGTTGAAGGATTTGATTAGAATTTCAGTGTAACTTAGAGAGCAGATTGGTCTGTTTTGATCACTCGAACTGGTTATCAAGCTTGCTCAAGTTTTTTTTTTTTTTTTTTTGGTGATAATTTTGTCAATCTCATGTGAGAATGCGAAAATCAGCACAGCATGAGGTGAAATGGTAAATATACTCATAATGATTATTTTGTGGATTTTTACTCCTGAATGGATGGTGAAAAGGAAAAACTTTACGGGAGTGGTTGAGTGGAAAAAAATTACTGACTTGAAAGAATCAAGGAAGACAAAAGGAAAAGTTCAATGTACACTTATGAGAGTCATGAATCTAGCGTAGTTAGCAATGATGAAAGAAATTGAACCAGTCAACCTTCAGAAGTTCTCTTGACTTCACACAAATGGGTTTTAAATACAAGATCACATATGATCCATGGTATCTGATCTCACATGGAGATATAAAGGCTCATTTTTGTTGTGGTATTTGAATGGCTTCCAAGTAACAACTATTTGTTGAATCACAAAGTATGTTTTAAGTGTGTGATTACATTGAAATATAGGAAAAGTGAAGCGGCTATATTTGGGACCATTAACTGGAACATTACAGACTAATCAACTAGCTTTCTTAATCCTCCTGGCTTGACAAGTGTAGTCGTCCTCGTGATTACAATAACTAATGCAGGTTGGGAGTTTTTTCATTTCCAAATTTACATGATATATATAAAATAATCATTCTGATACTGAGATACTTTCGCCGACTCACTACATCGATCACCAAGAGAGGATACAAATGGACCAAAAGGGATCGAATCGGATTGTCAGAAGGAAAACAAATTAATCGAATAGTACTACTAATTAAGAGCTAGAGGGCCCTTGTCAAACAGAATATTCTTTTGAACGGTACTCTCAGTAAAAGGGCAGGTTAGATTCCTGGCGTTATGGTATAATTACGTTTATCAACCAAAGAATAATATACACTTCCGATGAAATTGTCCAGTATGATAATTATACTATATAGACTATCAAAAAGAATTACTCCCTCCGTCCTATAATTATTGTTCAGTTTGGGTTTTCATTTCTAGTTCAAATTGTACTAAAAGTAAATTCTGAAACTGGATAATAATTTTGGGACAGAGAGAGTACTATTTTATTGGATGTGATCATTGTCTTTATTGTTACTCAAATTATATAGTGTTATATAGATCACTTTGGGTTTTCATTTCTAGTTCAAATTGTACTAAAAGTAAATTCTGAAACTGGATAATAATTTTGGACAGAGAAGAGTACTATTTTATTGGATGTGATCATTGTCTTTATTGTTACTCAAATTATATAGTGTTATATAGATCACTTTGGGTTTTCATTTCTAGTTCAAATTGTACTAAAAGTAAATTCTGAAACTGGATAATAATTTTGGGACAGAGAGAGTACTATTTTATTGGATGTGATCATTGTCTTTATTGTTACTCAAATTATATAGTGTTATATAGATCACTCTTTTTTTTTTTTCTGAGAGGTATACTGAGGATCTTATAGCATGACTCCGGACACCGGGTGCATAATTTACTAGAAAAAAATTTAAAAAAACATAATTTTCTGGTTATCTTTATTATCTCCATCGGTCATTATTCAAATTATTATATACAGTAGACTTGCGTGTTACTGCTTAGCAACTTCTCGATTGGCTATATAATATCTAATGTCAAAAAATATTTCCATGTTGAATAAAACGGAAACCTCCAATGAACAAGTGAAAGCTCAAGCTTACTCCCGACATTTTGGACGTAGGTATAGCTTTTATGATTATACGGTTATACCAGCCATAATCAAAGCCCCAATTTGGAGAGATTACAGTGGAGACTCGTAGTTGACTATATCTATATAATCAAAGATTCAGTTTTGAGTTTCTGTTTCTTTCTTTCTTCTTCTTCTTCCAGGAAAATCAGTTACCCTCCCCCACTTCTATTGATCCACTTTCTAATCAAAGCAAGGTAGTGGTAATCGGAGCTGGCAGGTTCGTTAGGATCACCATTCCATTAGTGGAAAGAAATCTCTTCAACCAAGCGTTCATAGTTGTAGATTCCTTTTCATATTCTCTAACCCAAAAAATTGATCTGTTTAATTTATTAATTATATCAAAATGAATTAAGATAATCAATAGTGGTCGTATGAGCTTCTCCACTCTCCAAGAAGGTTGAGGAAAATTCCCGAAAGGTACTATCAACACTACAAATTATGAGAAAACGATATAAATTGTAATAAATAAATAAATAAATCATATATAACAGAATGAAATTGATAGTGCACAACAGATGAACTGATGGAATCGATTCAAAATATTTTAATAGATACTGATAAATTAAGAGAGAATTATATTTTGTGGATGTAACGTATTAATCGGTACCTCATTTCAATATGAATTTTCACTAGTTTTCTATAATTGTTTTTCTGTAGTGCACCTAGAAAATGACAGAATAAATTTGAATGAATTTGGCCGCAAAGGTAACTTCATTTCCATTGTATATATATATATATATATATATATATATATATATATATATATATATATATACATTATAATATATAGATCTCTCTCTCTGCTTTTTTCTGAGGAAGATTTATTGGCCGGATCTTATGTGCATGGTACAACATAGCCATATTTTAAGAGGCAATTCTCCAATTGGCCTAATTAGGGGCTACATATGCTTTTTGTGTGGTGAATGTTAGTGGGGAAATAGCTAGGCTTTATTAGGCGGCTTTTTAATGCTTTTGGTAAAGTCTGTTAAAATAAATAAAAGGAGGGAAAGAGTGCTTAAGATTTTGCGTAGGTCAGGGTGCCCACGCGTATAGTCTTACGTCCTTTTTGATCTCTTGTTTCTTCATAAATTATTCAAAGATTATGTTAATGCATAACATAGCATCCTGTTATGGGCTGCATATGTGAACCATACGTACGAATGTTTGTTTTGCGAAATTGATATTGATTTCAGTAATGTGTAACGCGTTCAAAGTATATTATCATAGCATTTCTAGCCAAGAATTGAAATCAAAATGAACAATAAATTCTTTTTTTTTTTTAGAAAGTACCTATTTTATTATGTTAAAGGTACTAATCTATTACATTGCATACAATTAAAAGCTAAATTATTCATATTTTTTATTATGTTAAAGGTACTAATCTATTACATTGCATACAATTAAAAGCTAAATTATTCATATCTCGTACATCCCATCTACTTTGTAGCGTTACTATTCATACATGTTATAACATTTGTAGCGTTACTATTTAATTGTTGAAGATTAGGGTTATTCTTTTCTGTCTTACACTGATGATATATGATGAATGAAGTGTGATTACATAGCACGAAGCAGTACTAAAGTGCTTGGTTTTGTCTAAAGATGGAAACCTTTATCTCTATGCTAATGCGGCTTTGGATATAGGAGTACATTATAGTTATAACCTGCACTGAAATGGCACTTGAAATGATGCTGTAATTTGTGTGCACAAAAATGATAGATGCCAATTTTCACCCTTTGATTACTTCCTGGTAAGAAAGGACAAATTTACCATGTTTTGTGTCATAATAAACTAAAAAAGAGTCTCTATTATCCTCTGCTGTAAGCTGAAAGATAACCGAATTTATTACCTTTGAAGTTAAGCCATTCAACTCTCATCCACGTCAAACTCAAACAGTCGTGAAAAATGTATTCACTAGTATCCGAAACACAATATGTTATATCCTCGTATCCTTATTATAACACATTTTGATTAGTCATAAGTTTCATTTATCATATTTTTTAAACGACTAAAATGTCCAAATGGTCCCTTACATTTGGGCCTACTTGAATTTACATCCCTTACATTAATATTTCAATATCGTAGTCCCAAACATTATGTTTTTACACTTTTTTGGTCCCATTTCACTGTTTCCGGCCTTTAACATGCCGGAATCAGGGGTATTTTTGTCTTTTAATTTAATTTAAATTTTTATTAAAATTTAAATCATTAAAAATATTTTAAAATTCAGATTTCATTATTTAATTGTTAAAATATTATTTACTGATTAAAAATATTATTATAAAATTTTAAAATTTACATTATTTTCAAAATTAATTTTTTCATTTACCATTTATCTTAGGTTAAAGTAAATAGTAATTATGTTACACTTTTAACCTTGGACCCAGTGTAACTTAAAAAATTTATCGAGTTACAGTAAATAATTCAAAATTCAGTTTCTTTTTTTTTAAAAAAAAAAGCCAAAATATTTTTTTTTACTCTGACAGCTATAGTAAACCCTAAATGGTAATTATATTACACTTTTAACCTTGGACCCACTATAACTTAAAACATTTATCGAGTTACAGTAAATTAATTCAAAATTTATTTTTTTTAAAAAAAAGGGAAAAAACAAAACCAAGCTTTTTTTTTACTTTAACTGCTACAGTTGAATTTTGAATTATTTACTGTAACTCGATAAATTTTTTAAGTTACATTGGGTCCAAGGTTAAAAGTGCAACATAAGGGTTTACTGTAGCGGTCAAATACTTTATTTTGTTTTTTCCTCTTTTTTAAAAAAATTAAATTTTGAATTATTTACTGTAACTCGATAAATTTTTTAAGTTATTGTAGGTCCAACGTTAAAAAAGCAACGTAGCGGTCAGGGTAAAAAAAATCTTGATTTTTCCTTTTTTTTGGAAAAAAAAATTAAATTTTGAATTATTTACTGTAACTCGATAAATTTTTTAAGTTACAGTAGATCTAAGGTTAAAAATGTAACATAATTACCATTTAGGGTTTACTATAGCGGTCAGAGTAAAAAAATCGTGGTTTTGCCTTTTCTTTTTTTTAAAAAAAAATGAATTTTGAATTATTTACTATAACTCGGTAAATTTTTTAAGTCACAGTGAGTCCAAGGTTAAAAGTGTGTTAACATTACCATTTAGGGTTTACTGTAGCGGTCAAAGTAAAAAAAAACTTGGTTTTATTTTTTCTTTTTTTAAAAAAAAAATTTGAATTATTTACTGTAACTCGGTATATTTTTTAATTTACAGTGGGTACAAAGTTAAAAGTGTTATATAATTACCATTTAGGGTTTACTGTAGCAGTCAGAGTAAAAAAAATCTTAGTTTTGCTTTTTATTTTTCTTTTTTTAAAAAAAATAATTGAATTTTGAATTATTTATTATAACTTGGTTAATTTTTTAAGTTACTGTGGGCCAAAGTTAAGAGTGCAGCATAATTACTATTTACTATGTACTTAAAGTAAACAGTAAATAAAAAATATATTTTTGAATATAATGATAAATTTTAAAATTGTATAATAATATTTTTAATTAATAAATAATATTTTAACGATTAAATAATGAAATTTGAATTTTAAAATATTTTTATGATTTAAATTTTAATAAAAATTTAAATTAAATTAAAAGACAATAATACCCCTGATTCCAGCATGTCAACGGTCGGAAACAGTGAAATGGGACCAAAAAAGTGTGAAAACATAATGTTTGGGACTACGATATTGAAATGTTAATGTAAGGGACGTAAATTCAAGTAGACCCAAATGTAAGGGACCATTTGGATAATTTAGTCTTTTTAAATTTGAAAAAAAAAATTTAAAAATATTTCTAATAATTAGTAGAACACAATTAATCTGAAAATGTAATTTTAAGGTGTTTTTCTTTTCAATCGAAAAAGCATACTAGCTAACAAATCAAAACTTGTCTTAAAATAAGTACCGGAGGAAGTATATAATTGTGATTAAAATATTTGACGAGAGAACTTTATCTCTTGAATAAAATTTATCTGATTTAGAATTAGTTTTTACCTCTCTAGAACTACTTCATGGTTCATGCAACCCAGAAAGAAGAAGAAAAAAAAAGCAACAACAACAAAAAGAAAAAACAGAAAAGAAGCACTCAATAAGTAAGTCTATGCCGGATTATTTGTAATACTTTGTTCACAAAAATCATCGATAACCTTGAATGTAGATCGGATCCGGGACTCGTGCATGTTTGGATGAAAAAATGGATTATCAAGAAAATCACCTCTACTGGATACCCAATATATAAGGTCTATGAGGAATGAAGACAATAAAATCGGTAAGAAATAATGAGTTGGTGGTCCTGTGATTTGTTCTGTTTCAAAAGAACAAAGGATTGATATGCATTAGAGGATCTCTCTAATTTTCTTTAATACTATATTAACTAATATTATTTGCATATTGCTTGCTAGCAAAGATTTTTAATTAATTTATGCAAAGAGGATGAATTGGAAGTTGCCATGCCGACTTCTCCTTTTTCTCCTTTTTATTCGTGGGGCAAATGGGACAAGTACATATACTTCAAAACCATTTAAAGAAAAATAAAGGGAAAAAGGAAAAAAAAAGAAAAAAAAAAACAGCGCACAAAGAAATTAGTGTACACTAACTCGACAAATATGTGATTAAGAGAAGGAGTATTGACTAAGAGATTGTTATCTTTTGGGCGAGATAAGTCGGGTTTGTTGCACGTATCAACTCTATTAGTATCTGAGTTGAAAAAAAAAAATTCCCAGCTCGATGCTTCTAATATTAACTCTAATCCTTTTCAAAAAAAAAATAAAAATAAAAAAAATATTAACTCTAGTATCAAGGCAAGTTGCGTTGTTGATGGATGAACATTAGTTTTTAAAAATAACGAAATCAAAGAGTAAAGCGAGAAGTATAAGAAATTTTACCTCGTCGAAAGAGAAGGTTTTTCCATTGTACCAAAAAAAGAAAAAAAGAGAAGGCTTTTTTGAAATAGCAGCCATCGACGAATACGAATAAATCGAGTTCATTGTCAAACTAAAAAAGAAATTCAAAGATTATAAAATGTATACTATGCCTGGACTGCTATCCTATAGTTCCAATTGTCAAACTCATTCTAATAAATTGAAATTGTGCTGATTCTAATTATGTACTTAAAAAATTGCAACAGTTGGCCAATTAGTCAAATAACATGGATCAAATCTCGCAAATGTCAAAAATAATACTTTAAACTTTAAAGCACTCTGATTGGAACAAGATTTATGCTGCCGCAAATCTCAGCTGGATTCCTTGTTAATCAATGTTGATACCCAAGACCAGGTGGTCTACTGATATGATAAAAAAAAAAAAATTACAATGATAAAGTTACATTTTTAGTATACAAGACTTATCTCCAACCCACATTCCCTCCAATTTTATTTGCCATTTCTTGCAATGTCGTTATGCACACGTACGTATATTAAGCACTAACGGTATCAGGTAATTATAATTAATCAGAATGAGTACTTTTTTGGTACATAAAAGAGGTCCATATCTAAAATACCTGTTACATTATGCGAGTGAGAATTTCCAACTAAGTCATATATGAAAATAATAAGTAAAGTCACAGCTCTTTTCTTTTGAAAATAATACTCCCCCGTCCCATAATTATTGTCCAATTTTACTAAAATGGAAAATTTTATTTTTAGTCAAACTTAACTATATTTTACCTTGAACAACCAGATATATCCCCTACATAAGTTATTGTTTAACCACAAAGATTTTATGGATAATGTTTTTTACTAAGGACAAATGTGTAACTTGATCCATAAAAAGTCAAATTGGACAATAATTTTGAGACAAAATTTTTTGGGCAAAGTGGACAATAATTATGGGACGGAGGGAGGGAGTAATAGAGATTATACTGTAATTTTACGAATCAGTCCATACTCAATAGTCTTTTTGTGGGATCACCAAAATGACTATCTTAATTTTCCGAAAAAAATAAAAAAAAAAATGAAAAATGACTTTCCACCAACTATAAATACAAAGCATCCCTTCATGCAAATCCTTCACACCAACACAACCAACAACAACAACAACAAACATTATCCTCCTCCATTTTAATTAACCGATTCAAAAATGAATCTCTTTCCGCAACTAACCAAAATCTCCTTCCTAGTATTCTTGGTCCTATGTTTCGGATTCACATACATCGGAAAACGTCCCCCTGCCATATTTGTACTCATTGTTACAACTATTTTACCTAGTTTCCTAAACCTATGGTTAATCCCAGGAGGCTTTGCTTGGAGAAATCACCCTGGTAAATTTCGTGGTCCTTTTTGTTGGCCCTTTCTTGGGCTTTTACCTCAGATGAAAAGTCCAATCGCTCATCGTAAATTAGGGTTCTTGGCTACTTCACTCGGAAGTAAGCGCTTAATGCCATTCAGTCTTGGAGCCAACACTCGGGTGATCATTAGTAGCCATCCCGACACAGCTCGGGAGATTTTATGCGGGAGTTCATTCTCAGATCGTCCCGTTAAGGAATCGGCTCGAACATTAATGTTCGAACGCGCCATTGGATTCGCGCCATCGGGTAAATACTGGCGTCACCTTAGAAGAATTGCTGCCAATCATTTGTTTAGTCCAAGGAGAATTTCTTCTTTAGAAGGGGTTAGACAAAATCTGGTGGATGACATGATTAAAAGAGTGGAGTTTGAGATGCAATATGGTGGGAGTGGTAAAGTGGAGATAAGGCCAATCCTGCAAAAGGGTTCTTTGATTAATGTGTTGGAAAGTGTGTTTGGGAGTGAGTTTTTAGGGTTAGAAGATGGGGTGAAGTTGGGAGTGATGGTTGAGGAAGGATATGAACTCATTTCTGAGTTTAATTGGGCTGATTATATTCCTTTCAAGTTTCTAGACTTTGGTGGGGTGAAAAAAAGGTGTCACAAATTAGCAGGAGAGGTTAAAAGTCTTCTGGAAAGGATCATAAAAGAAAGGAAAAAAGAGGGAGGTTTTGCCTCCAAGAATGATTTTCTTAGTGTTTGCCTATCTTTGCCTAAAGAGGATCAGCTTTGTGATGCAGATTTGGTCGCTGTTCTCTGGGTAAGAAATCTCTCTTCACCATGCAATGCAATAATGCATGATAACAACTTAATTATTGTAATCCATACATAATAAATAAAATAAAATATAATTCACACAAGTAGATATACTTTGCAAATTTGGTCACTGATATTTATTATTATATTGTTTTAAATTAATAAAGTTCACTTATTTTTTCAGAACGGAATGAGTATATATCGTAACTGTGATTACTATTTATTTCGTAGGCTTCATATAAAAATAATATAAAACCTTATAGTCATCATGAGAGTCGATACTGTTTTCTTAATTTTTAATATTGGAGCCTATGTATAGGTTGTCCTTTTATTAAGAAGAATTAAACAAATTAATAAGTATAGCTTTACCCCCAGAACTTAGGATTACTGTACGAGTCAAAAGTTGAAAGGTGGGCACCATCCGTGGAATTCATGAAGACCTAGGAACTAAATAGGTCATATGATTATCTAGGACGGGTGATATTGACATCATGACTCACAAAATCGTTGTTCTTTTTTCTTCTCTACCTGACATCCAAATACTACTTACATTACATCATGGGAAATTGAAACCCTAACTTATTGATGATCTTATAATTAATGTTAATATTTTTTTGTCTAAATTAACTTCATTACAGGAAATGATATTTAGAGGGACAGATACAGTGGCTCTTCTTTTAGAGTGGATATTGGCTAGAGTGGTTTTACATCAAGACATACAAATCAAAGCGCAGCTAGAAATTGATAATTGCATTGGCTCCGGCAGAAATGTACAAGATTCGGACATTGCAAATCTTCTATACCTTCAAGCCATAGTCAAAGAGGTGTTGCGACTTCACCCGCCCGGTCCATTGCTCTCGTGGGCCCGTTTAGCAATCCACGATGTACATGTGGACAAGTTCTTCGTCCCGGCTGGCACCACGGCAATGGTTAACATGTGGGCCATAACCCATGACCCGGCTATTTGGAAAGATCCATGGACATTCCGACCTGAAAGGTTCATTGAAGAAGATGTACCAATCATGGGTTCGGATCTCAGGCTCGCTCCATTTGGTTCGGGCCGTCGAGTTTGTCCTGGTAGGATGCTCGGGTTAACCACGGTTCAATTGTGGCTTGCTCGTTTACTTCAAGAATTCAAATGGATTCCCATATCATCCTCTCAACAAGTTGATCTTTCGGAGTGTTTGAAGCTTTCTTTAGAGATGAAGAAACCGTTGGTTTGTTGTGCAGTCAAACGGGCTCCAAGTCGGGTTGAATCCCAGCTGTAGCGGGAACCCATATGCATGCATGGTATTTCTAAGTAGCTTTTAATTTCTTCAATCTATCAATGATGGTTTATTTAGTACTGAATGTGTATATATTGGTCAGTTATATATCCTATTCAACGTGTTTAAAACCTAGCTAAGAAGTTTGGTTAACATGGAAATAAATTCCAGAAAAAAACCTTTTATGTTGTTATTTTATTGGTGAATTATAGTCTCCTACTTATTCGTTAGTACGTGTTCTTCTATTTCTCCTTGCAATATTTACTCTTGTTACAAACAGTAGAAACAAACTCTAACCTATATATTTTGATGAGAATGATTTAATTGTTCATCTTTAACTACGGGATATAATATTTTTAAAGAGTGTCTAAAAAGGCACAGTAATACTGAACATAAACAGTGTAGGGTGAGGACAGGAGAATACATGGACAAAGCCGCAGACACGTAAAAAGTGAATAACCTCAGTTAAATCAAATCAACTTTAGTTCGTCATTGTCCAAGATTTTTAACGATTGAACAGGGTAGAATTTGGAAGGACAGCTAATACAGTTTCAGTCACATACAATTATAAGATCATTAAAGCTTCTTTAACAAAATTGTACTAGGAACACTTCTTTTAAGGGATTCTGTCGAGCCTAATCAGCACTTAAATTAATACAGTACTTGCAAGCATGATTGAGTCTGGATGATATTCTGCTCCCACGTACAATTATAATGAAAAAAAAACTGATATGTATGTATTTTAGGTTTGCTCAGTTCTGACATATAGTAAAAGTAAAATTTCGTATTCAGAAGTTCATAATGTTAACGCTAATATGTGAATGAAATCATATATAATATCATGTCCAACCATAATTTAACGTCAATGAATTTTGAATATCAAGTCATATTCTATCTACACATCAAAACAGTAGTAGGGAATATTCAATAGCTCGACAAAAGCAGATGCTTTTCTTTTGTTACACATCAAGAGGTCCCCTACATTGAGTACATTGTGTGCTCATCAAACATCCAAACGATAATTTTCCAATAATTCTTAGGACAAATCAACCTCATCATCTTTGGACTCTAGGCCTAAAGTTTCGGCTTTAAGACATTTGAAATATATATAAGTTTCCTTTAAGACTACAACCAGGCATGATGGCTATGGCTTCCACAAACTTCACTCTCAAAACTAGCTTTAAATTAATTTACTTTCATCAATGTTATTCATCAACATTTTCATTAGAGAATGAATTAGGGATTAATCAGATTGTACCATTCTTCATATACTTTCCAAAGCATTTCAAGCTTTGACAGCACGCTTATGTGTCGTTCCAATGTTGGCCAACTTGCATTATTCCACCACCAAAAATCAAACAATATTACAACGGCATATAAATATAGGTGACACTATCAAAATCGATCGTACGTGTTCTTATATACATATATGACGATCCATTTGATGATTGATCACCATATCCTACTTATAAAAATATTTTGCGTGCTCTGTCTACGTGTTTGTCTCTCATTTGTTCTGCCGTCATGGTTACATTCATTACTAATGGGAATTCGCGAAGTAATTAAAATACATATGATAGTCTGTCGTCTAAATTAAATAAGACAATCATTTTCGTACTAAATAAAAAACAAATATTTTCAAGATCCGACTATTTTATATTATGGTTAATTTCTTAATGAAAAAAACTATGAGGGCTTAAAAAATTGGGAAAAATGGATGATCATTATATTATTTATTAATTTTTATATTTTTAGTACTTGAGGCTCTTCCTTCTTCGTGTACTCCAGTACGCAAGAATAAAGAAAGTGATATCATGATCGGGATTGGAAATGATGTATCCTTTTTCCTTCGTACGGACAGGTCTATAATTTGGACATAATTAAAGGACCATACATATATAAATTGGTTCAGTTGCTCCAGCTCATGACAATGATAAAGCCAAAATCATTACTAATTCATTGTCATCCAAACATAATCCAACAACAATTTTACATATCTTAACAGCCGCCACCACCAAAATCTGATACTTTATGGATTAGGTAAGCAAAGGAGAGAATTAGCTAAGATGTTTTTCATCCAATTTATCGTTTTATTCTCTATGTCTCAAAATAATTACTATCTCTGTCTCAAAATTATTGTCCAGTTTGAGATTTCACTTTTAATACAATTTGAACTGTAAATAAAAACTCAAACTTGACAATAATTATGGGATGGAGAGAGTATTTAATTTAGATTTTTATTTTAATATAATTTGTAATAAAATAAAAGTTCACAATTGAATAATCATTTCGAGACAGGAAAAAATAATTTAATGGTTTAAAACTTAAAATTACGTAAATGGTCCAAAAACTATTTGGGATACAAACGGAGACTGGTAATTTTTTTGTAGACTTATTTTTAGTCACTTATGAACTTATTTCTCCCATTTCTAGTTGTTCCATATTCTGCGCGGAAGATTACTAACACGCATGGAATTTTCCCTGGTAGTGTCATACGAACTTTAGTACAAGTACATTTTTTTATTTTTTTACTTTACGAAAAAAAGAGGCTAACGCCTAAACTCGCAAAGCTGAACCAAAGTGTAGTTTTTCTTCCATATCACAAGGGTCAAAAACATCTTAAGGATGTATGTGTTTCGAGTCCTCAACCATAACTTTTATACTTACGCAATTACGATCCCTTTCGCCTTTCGGTTAATTTATCAACCACAATCCTATTAGTTAAAATTGTGATGTTAGTTGTATTAACCAAAAAGATAGATCCGTGCTATAATTTTGTACTCCCTCCGTTTCATAATTATTCTCCAATTTTACTAAAATGAAAGATTTTATTTTTGGTCAAACTTAACTATATTTTACCTTAAACAACTGGATATACTCCTACATAAGTAATTGTTTAACCACTAAGATTTTATGGATAATATTTTTTACTAAGGACAAATGTGTAACTTGATCTATAAAAAGTCAAATTGGACAATAATTTTGGGACAAAATTTTTTGGATAAAGTGGACAATAATTATGGGACGGAAGGAGTAACTTTTATGCTTTTAAATGGCTTAAAAAAAATCTAAAATAAACCATCATTTTGGTACGAATTTGTATTTCTTTCATTGAAATAAAAGTTGTTTCATTCCCATATTCTATTTTACTTTTTCTTTTACCATCATTTTTTTAATGAAGTAGAATTTTCATAATTTGCAGGTATACGCTTAATAGTAGTGTAGCGAAATTTACAAAATCGCCAAGAGATTTTAAAAACTCAATAATACATGTATGAAAGCTCGAGCTTTAGTGTTCCAAAATTTATTTAACAATCACAATAGAACTCCATAAAACAAGTTAGAAAGCAGGTTAAAATAAAACTAACTGCGGCGGTGGATTGGGTAAAGTCCAATAACCCAACATCACGCAATTCCCGAAGAGCTCAACGTGATGAAATAAAGCCCAACCAACCGCATCCATACAGAAAGCCCACTTCTTGCACTCTGAGCTGTTTTGAAGAAAAAGCTATAGTGTGTGGACTGAGATCCAAATATGGTAAAAATGACAAGCTTGGCGCCCTGTAACATTGGATACCTGAAATTCAAATTCAAATCCCAGAGGAAAGAGAGGGACGAAGGCTTCGGAAATTCACGCAACTTCCACTGAATTTTGTATTTTTGAATTATGTATTAACCTTCCAATAATTTCAAACTTAGAAAGATTCTCTCCCACGAGGATTGCCCATATTAGCGACCAAATACTTTGACTTTGAACGTTGTGAGCCGTGGACACTGACAAAATGCCGTTTCAATAATTCGTTTGTTTGCTAAATAGTCCTCTGTCTTCTAAGTTATCATATTCACCCCCCTTTTTTTTGAGTGATCTTTTAGCAAATTTAGGATTTATACCCCAAATTGTTTCGCTTATATTCCCTCCATTCCAAAATAAGTGTCATCTTACACTTTGTACATAGTTTAAGAAAATCTTAAATAGAATAATAAAATTACTTAAATATCCTCAACCAACCTCATTATAAAATTGTCCACCAATAGCATCAACTCTTTTGAGGGTAATTTTAAAAATTTTTGACAAAAAGTGCATTGAAATGTGAGAACGACGCTTATTTTGAAATTTCTCCATTTTGCTAAAACGACACTTATTTTGGAATGGAAGGAGTAATAAATAAATGTTTCTTGAGATTTTATTAATGTAATTGTTTGGGAGTGATATATGAGATAACAAGTGTAGCAAGCTAACAACATACAAGACACAATGTACAATTTGCAATACAATTATTGGTGATATGAAGTTGATTCCTATTTTCCAAGGCATAGTTTTATATTTGTGATAAATATACTAAGTTCAGTGTATAAAGTATATAAACATCAAACAATTATTAGAATTTACAGTAACTATTGTTACAAATCTTGCAAATTATATAAGTATATTAAAATATATTGTCCTTCAACCTTATTTTATATGTATAAGAAACAATAACATAATTTTTTTTTTTTGAAAATATGAAGAATAATGGATTAAGTCGAATTGCCATTATAAAAATGAGAAATGAAACATGCATTTAGGGGAAAAAATAAATGCAAATCACATCTTCTATAATCGTTATCCTTTTTTTAAAATGAAAAACAATGTATATTTATTAATGAACCTCGAAACATCTCTTATTTCTTATCGTCTCGTGAAGAAAATGCTTCAAAGTGAAAAAAAAAAGAAGGAAAAATGATTACGGCCTACTACTGTAAATAAGTACTGTATAAAGGTTCCCCTTTATAAATTGCATTTCAAATATCCATCGTACGCTCCACCGTTTGCCACGTTCTTTTTTATGACAGATGTTTCCCGATTAAGACGAGTACAAATCAAATCATACACTTTGTGGAAATTTTAACATATTAGTAAAAGACATTATTGCGAGACAGACTCCTCAATTTCTGAAAGCCATAAATTAAATTAAATATTTTATCTATTTTATTTTTCTCCCAAAATTTTCATTTTTCTTTTCTCTCACTCTCTTCATTTCCAATATTTTCCCTCTCATTTCTCCATTTTCAATCTCAATAAATCGAAAAACCTAGTTTTAATCTTTTGTTCTCACAATCTGTAGATTAGTAATTGGGCCTCTTCTGAAGAGCTTCTGCTGCTGAAGAAGCTGAAATCTGACCTTTATTCTGTCTAATTTTTCTATTCGTTGGTTGTTTGATTTTCACCTATCAGTTTTAAGCTAAAGGCGAAGAAGCTCTGTAGTTGTCCGCGTGTTTTTGCTGCTTCTGCTCCAGAGGAGACCACTCGTATGAACTTCTGGTTGTGATTATTTCGCTTTAGGTGAGTTGTTGAAGTGTTTTTTTTTTCCTATCGGAAATGAGCTTTCTTGCGGGTTTGTTGGTGTGAGTTTTCTTGGTTAGAAAAGGCTAGGGTTTTGATTATGGTTTTCATTTATTGGGTTATTTGGTGCCCTAGGTATTTGATTTTGAAGTTTAGAGGTTGGATGCAACTGCATGTGCCAATTGAGTTGGGTTAACTGTACTTATCAGCTCAATTATCGGTGTACATGGTAGTCTGTTTTAGTGTATTAAGTGAGTTGGAGGATATGCATACGTAATTTTTCAAAATGATGACGAATTAGTGGATTCGGAGCTCAAAAATCAGTGCTTTTTCTATCTGGATGAATGATCTAGTTATGTTTGTGTTATGAAGTCAATGCCTAGGGAATTTACATGTATTTTTTTCCCATCATTCTTAATGTAATTGACTTCAATGAATTCCTCCACTTTAGATTCAAATACTCAATTGACTGTGGGGACTTTAGATAGTATGATGTAAAGTTACAAGGTTGGATGACATCGTTGTCATGAATTTCTGGAGCTGGTAAAAGGGGGAAGCTATACATTTTTGCTACAAATGCCTTCAAGTGCAAAATGTAATTGGGATTGAGGGAAGCGTTTAGGAACCAGTGATGGTAAAAATGATTTATTGTAAAAAAAAAAAATTACTTAAATTCGTATACTTTGTGGTCTCAAATCAAAAGAATCTATCCTCACCAATACGGCTTGTCTGCTCATGTTGTGGTCAGTACAGTGTTCTTAGAATTTGCTGAATTTCTAAGATGCAAAACAAGAAGAAAGTTGGTGGAAGAACTTCTGGAGAGATTGCTAGTGCAAAAGGTTCAAGACATCAGAAGAAGGTGTCCGAGAATCTGCATGTCCAAGTGAAGAAAGTCTCGGACATAATTACTTCTTCTACTAGGAAGCAGAAAACTGGTAATTTGATGCCTTGAACCACGTGTTAATACTTTTCTGTGGTGGATGGATTTATGTATTGTGTACTACTGGTGTTACTTCAGGCCGAACTCTTTTGAAAAATATTGAGGATCCTGTTGCTGCGGCAAATTTGGACGCAAAATTTGAGGTGGTCAATGATGAGACGTCGAATTTGCGTATGGATGACAACGAGAACAATAGCACTGTGATCAATATTAAGGTTTAACTTCTTTTTTGGAGATGTTCTTCTTCCAAATTTATAAACTGGATTTCTGTTTGGGTACTGAGCTTTAGGTTGGAATTTGGATATAGGTCAAAGCTTTTCTTTTCTGTGTCTATAAAAGTCTGACAGCTTCTAATGTAATTTAGTCACTTCTGACAGGATTATAATGATACAGTAGTTGATCAAATGGTTGACACTATATTTTCTTCTCCTGCATTCCACATTAGAAGCCTTGGAGGGAATGTTACGGATGGAGGTAAAGATATTCGGTTTGTCTTTTATTTTTTAATTTTTGGGCATTTGTACTCTTTCCATATTCTCATAACAAGAATTTATTGGGTTCTTTGAGCCAGTGTTGTTTTGTATCACTTATATGGCCTCCTTTCTGTATGTTTCTATCACTGCCACTCTCCGATTAGATTTCTTGAAGATTTTCAAGCATGAAGATCCTCACTTTGAGGACCATGGGAAAGAAAACTTGCAGGTTGATTTTCTTAGTGCACATATGCCAGAAAAGAATTTCACTGAGGAGTCTCTAGGCTTAACAAATCTTACATGCCCAGGTAGCGCATGTGTGTGTATTGTCTAATGCAAGATTAAGAGTTGTTGCCTCATTTTGTCCACACTAATGCTTTTACAACCAATTCACAGACTTGGGGAGCACTCTGTCCTCTGAAATTTCTGCAGTATATCTTTCAATGAAAAATCAAAAATTAGAATGCGCTGACGAATATAATCAAGCGGAATTGCCTGCCAGTGTTTGCTACGATGATGAGGAAGTTGAAGAGTTTGATGACTTCGATCCATACTTCTTTATGAAGAACTTACCTGACTTGTACTCAGTTGTTCCATTATTTCGGCCGGTACTATTACCTAAGCAGACAAGGAGTTGCCCTTCAACTACTCTTGTTTTGGACCTGGACGGTAAGGATTTTCATAACCTTTTTGTTCCGTTGCCTGTCCAAGTTTTATATCCAAAGGATGAAATGCCAATTATTGAATAGCAAATCATTTTTTTTTTGTTTTTGGGGGTTGGACTTGGTATTTTTGTCTGTCTCTGTCATTCTGAATTTTGGTGTATTCGAGCTTAATCATATCGAACTTGCCTTGTAAATGTGCTTATCCTATCTGCATTATCATCGTAACATGCTAGTTGAGTGTGTTCAATTTCAGATAGATTTTGTATGAATGATGTTTCGCTTGTTCTCATAGTTGTGTTTTGTTGATTGTGGGGTGTTACCTATGCTGACAAAGCTATGTTTGAATTGGCAGAGACCTTGGTGCATTCTACACTTGAACCTTGTGATGATGCGGATTTCACTTTTTCTGTCAATTTTAACCAGAAGGAGCATACCGTATATGTTAGATGCCGTCCTCATCTCAGAGATTTTATGGATAGGGTGTCTGGCGTTTTTGAGATTATCATTTTCACAGCTAGTCAGAGTATATATGCCGAGCAACTTCTGAACGTATTAGATCCAAAGAGGAAAGTTTTTCGCCATCGTGTTTTCCGAGAATCCTGTGTTATTGTCGATGGGAATTACCTCAAAGATCTGTCAGTTCTCGGCCGTGATTTGGCACATGTCATTATAGTTGACAATTCTCCTCAGGTATTTCGCTCAAATTCTTGTTTTGTGTATACTTAAAAAGTCATGTCGAGTAGGTAGTGGGGGTAACTAATTGCCTAGTTATGTACTCGTTCATGTTTCACGTTGTTGGCTTGATTGTGGTGTCCAAATATTTTGCAGGCATTTGGGTTTCAAATAGACAATGGAATACCGATTGAGAGCTGGTTCGACGACCGTTCAGATAAGGAGTTGCTTTCATTGCTCCCATTTTTGGAAAGTTTGGTTGGAGTTGAAGATGTGAGGCCGTTAATTGCCAAAAAGTTCAACCTTAGAGAGAAGGTTGCTGCCGCAGTTTGTCCAATGAAGCTATAGCAGGAGATTTTTGTATGCAAATGATGCTCTCGAAAAATCAATTTAAGCAATGCCTCTTTTTGTATAAGAGAAGAATAGTCTTAAGTTAGTGAACTTTTAGCTGCCATTTACATCTAGTTATGGCTGCCAATTGAAATACTATGAAATTTGTGATTCTAAACCTCTCTGTTAGCTTTTCTGTACTTGCTTAGGATAGAACAAAGTCAGTGTGACTTATCATAGTTTCTGTAATGCAAATGTTCCTTTTTCTCTCTTCTATACTCGAATGAGCTGGGCCGGATTGGACCTTTGAGTTTAGCTTCTCTTTTCCTTTGCCCCAATGAACTCGATATGTAGGTGGAGCAAAAATTTTACTTTTGGTTTTTCCTTTTTCTCTTAGTAAGCTCAATGACCTCATGTATAAAAGTGGAGTAACATTATCTCAAACTGAATAAATAATTTCGATACGCCGAAAATTTAGTTTGAAAGAATTTATGTAATTATAATTACGATTACTTCCATACCACCAAAAAAAAAAGAAAGAAAGTTTCCTTCGAGATATTTCGAAAGGCCCAAATAGTGCAGTGTAGAAGAAACAGAAAAGACGCGTGTTCTCCATTTTACATAATTACCCTTGAAATCACACCATTAGCGCTGTGTATAAAATCCCGCCATTCCCAACACTTCTTTATTCACTTCAAAGCATTTTTTTCATTTCAAAAAATTTTCTCCCCTCTTTCTTTCTCTTCAAGTTTATATTTCAAACCGGCGGAGAAAAAATGGTGAGCTCCGTTCATCTTTCCGTTTTTCCGTTAGTTTCCGATCAACGAGGGTGTCAAATTATCGAATTTCACCGTTTATTTGTTTCGAATTCCAGGTAGCTGTGCAAAAAGTGAAGGAAGCGGAGATTACCGAGCTCGATTCTCTGCTTTTGGTAAATTTCTACTCATTTCGTTTAACGATGATATAGCTTGTGATTTTCTGTGCTTGTCCGCTTAAATACCGAGACATTTTTGTTTAGCTGTTCGGTTGAATGGTTTGAATCAACTTGTTCTGTTATTTCAACGTAATCTGGTCGTTTCTTCTCCTTTTTAAGTTTTTCTTTTCTGTATTCTTCGTTCGCATGGACTATTGTTGGGTCAGTTATACGTGATTTTGTTCTCTGCGTTTCGTATGGTAACAGTATGTTTAATCCGAAGAGTTCATGATTTTTGGATATCATGTAGTTTTACAGTTCGCAATTTTGGATCTGAAGATGTTATGTCTATTCGAACAAATTGTCAAACAGTTGGAGTGTGGTAGAATTCGGCTGTTAATTTTGTGATATCCTTACCATCATACGTTGCTTTTGAGTCCTGTTGGATTCTAGGCTTCATGCTTTATTCATCTGTCAATATTATGCGCAGGGTGAATTGTTGATAACTTGATATATCTAAAAATGAAATCGATGGTGTCTCCCTTGCAGATTACTCTGATTCATTGGTTAAAATGAAAATAGGATTGTGTTTGCTCCTTCAATTTTGTCTGTAGTTGATAATTGGTTTCTTGAATCTGGAAGTGTCCTTTATTTTGATGAGTTTTAATCAATTGTCTGATCCTTGTATATCTATGTCCATTAGTGTTCGTAGTTCTCCCTGTCTACTCCATCCTCTCACCTGATCCTTTTTCTTACCCATGGTTGTGACTGATAGACAAGGAATCTGCTGCGAATTGCTATATTCAACATAAGCTACATCAGAGGGCTGTTTCCTGAGAAGTACTTCAATGACAAATCTGTTCCAGCCTTGGGTAAATTTAACTCGATCATTTTACTTTAAGTGCTTGTTATCTGTCCCGAGATTGATGAAATCAGTTTTGCATTGTAATCAGACATGAAGATCAAGAAACTGATGCCAATGGATGCAGAGTCACGTAGACTCATTGATTGGATGGAGAAAGGCATGGTTATTTACTTATTAGTTTGATTTGCTGATCACTTCTAAAAAGACTCTTTGCTCATTTTGTTGATTCATACAATTTTCTGCACTCTTAGGTGTTTATGATGCGCTCCAGAAAAAATATCTCAAAACACTTCTGTTCTGTGTGTGTGAAGCAACTGGTGGGCACATGATTGAAGAGTATGCATGTAAGATTTTTTGAACTTTCTGGTTTAGAATTCGTGGTTTTGCGGTTACTATTTTCCTTGGATTGGTTTGGTTTCCCTTTTTTCTTGATGACACAGTAAAGGTTCCTGGCAATCGAAAACACCTTCATAAGCAGAACATTGATGTTGCTTTCTGAACTTTCCACTCTTCATAAGTTTAGTTCTGTTTTTCTTCAATATTCTAATTTTTTTTTTGCACGCTGCAGTTTCTTTCAGCTACTCAGATTCAGATACACAAGAGGTTTCAATGAATGTAAGTCGTTCTGGAAGCAAGAAGAGTGGTGGAACCTTCAAGTGTGATTCAAAGAATGAAATTACTTCCAATCAGATGAGGTTGTTAAGTACAAGATAGATTAATGTTTTTCTTTTTGTTCTTTATTTGTATCTCAAAATTAATATTGGGGGGCCATTAATTCAGGAGTTCTGCTTGTAAGATGGTTCGCACACTGGTTCAACTGATGAGAACTCTTGACAAGATGCCTGAAGAGGTGATAGTTTTATTCTTGGAAAGACTGAAAGATAGTGTCACTTAGTCTTATGTTTCTGTTCATACAGTACTAACCTAGATGTATCTTACTTTCTTTCAGCGTACTATACTGATGAAACTCCTGTATTATGACAGCACGGTATGTATTTTACTTAACAGGATTACTGTTAGACTGCAATTGGTCTGTAAATTTCTTAAATACATAATTAACTGAATAGAAAAGTCTAGACAAGTTTAGTGGTGTGTATCTTAATGGTATTCAGATAGTGAAATGTTTGGCCCAATAAATTATCTGGTCTTTTTGGGTACATGTTGATGATTTGGTTATGAAGAAGTTAGAATTATATCTCTGGATGCCATTACTATGGGACCATCTTTTCAACTAGTGGTTTTGTCTGGTCAGATTGTAACATGTCCCTTATTGATTGATTAATCTCCATAAGCTCTTCGTCAGAGTCTCACCTGATAGCATCTGTACAAACTTTGAATAAGAAAAGGTTTTTGATTTTGCAGCCTGCTGATTACGAACCTCCCTTCTTCCGAGGCTGCTCAGAAGAGGAAGCTCGTAATACTTGGACTAAGAATCCACTGAAAATGGAGGTTGGAAATGTCAACAGCAAGCATGTGATATTAACTCTCAAGGTGAATAAGATTTCAGAAATAGAAGGAATTTAGATCTTTAAAATGACTGAGTCCATATTGTCAATAATTTGCAACTATTTGCAGGTTAAGAGTGTACTTGATCCCTGTGAAGATGAAAATGATGAAAACCATGAGAATACTAGCTCCTCCGAAGGTGGTTGTGGCGAGAGAGATGGCGATAGCGATTCTGACAGTGATGTAATGTGCTCGTATAAAGCATCTTCTGTTCACCTGCATTCACATTCAATACATATTGCAACTAACACTTGCATCTCCTTGACTTATTACAGACAAGTATGTCAAATGATGGTCAGTTCATTGTTGCACCAATTGGTAAATGCACATTTACTCAAATTTTTCTTTGCTGCTTGTGTACCTTCCTAGAAGTATGGTAGTATGTTTAAGTGATGGTACCTTGTGCAGAAAAGCAACAAGAGCCCGAAAACAACACAATGGTGAATGAAGGTATGCCTTTACTTAATTAAAGCAATGGCCAGAACTTCTTATGAGATCAGGAAATGATGCATAAGGTGCTGTTTCTCCAGATGATACACAGGACCCTGCAGAGGATGAAGAACAATTGAGCCGAGTGAAGGACTGGATCAACTCTCATCACTATCAAACTTTAAATCTCACAGACATTGTCTCAAATTTTCCTGATATCTCTAGAGTAAGTACTGTTTTTTCTCTGCAATTTTCTCTGTTATCTAAACACTTATCTTAATAATGGTTTAAGCTCACAACCATTTTCGATTGCAGGTCTTGATTGAAGGTAGCTTTCACATCAGTTTCCTGCTAAAGCTGATAATTGAACGAATATGGGTTTAAATTCTCATTATTGATCTTGTTTTGCATTTCGATCATATTAGAAATCATGGACAAGCTAGTTAAGGAAGGTGTGATTTCAAAATCTGGTGCAGATATTTACTCCGTCACCAAAGAAAAGGTTAAACATTGTCATTTTCAAGACAGCATTTGTGAGTCCTAAGAAGCTGGTGATCTTACTTAGTATGTTTGTTCTCCTTTCTGTAGAAGTTTGACTATGAGTTCGATATTGTGAAAGAAGAACCTGATCCTCAAACCAATGGAAAGTACAATACTGGTGATGATCATATGTACATGCAGGTGAGTGGATGGGAAATTTAATCTAGGGGTATCAATCTTTTCAATTCTGAAAGTTCCTCATGCATAGTTTGAGCATTATCTGTTACATTTTTGTTTCAGGCATTGTATCATGCTCTTCCAATGAACTATATCACTATTGCAAAGCTTCAGAATAAGCTTGAAGCAAATGTGACAACTGTTCGCAAGTTGATTGATAAAATGGCTCAGGATGGCTTTGTTGAGACTAAATCTAACCGCAGGCTAGGTACAGAAAACTTTTTAGTTCAACCATCATTTTCCAGATTTATTTACCAACACACATCATTTTAACAAGCCAGCATCCTTTCCATTTTTTATCTCTGCTCCAGGGAGGCGTGTCATCCACTCGGAAAAGACTGAGAAGAAGCTGTCAGAAGTCAGGAAATCCCTGAGCTTTGATGCTATGGTAACACACTTATACTCTTGCCAGTTTCGAGCACTTCATGCCTCTTTTGAGTTTCCCTGTTAACATTTCCTTTTCCCAGGATGTGGATATGGATCAGAATGATCTGAATGACTCTGGTAAAAAAGCCAACAACTCAGAACCTGAGGCAAATGGTAATTCCCTCCCCCTTAGAGTTGTGCAGCACTATGAAAGCTTCAGGGAAGAAACTAACACAACTGTTTGCTAATTAGGTAACACTTACAAGGATTTGTCAACCTGTGGCGCTTTGCATTCAGTTGGATCAGATCTCACACGCACTGTTGCTCGATCTGCTGCATATCCAAATGGTTCTATAAGAAGTGATGACTCAAAAAGAATGGATAATGGAAACACACCCATAAGCAAGGCTCAGGTTTACATCGAAAACCTATATACTAGAAATTATGCAACTGCACTTATTATTATCTATCTAATTGCTTTGAGATTCCATTTGGTGTTTATACAGCCAGCGGCATCCAGGGAAAGTTATGCAGCAGGAGCTGAAAATGGAAGGGGCACTGGAAACGGTAATCAATGTGATGACAACGATACAATCATGAGCAGCAGGTTAACTCAAGAAAAGCGCTTCAGGAAAGCAAGCACGGTATAATGTTCTAGCTCTGAACTTCTGTTTTCTTATCCTTTCTATGGGCGTGACTTACTGGAGTGCTCATCATCTTTCTGAAATATTTCCACAGGTCAAGGAACCCATTCTCCAGTGCATGAAGCGCCAGAAAAGCCAAGCTGTGTAGAAGAATCCCTTGAAGCAGACTTCAGACAGTTTCAGGAGAAATTTACTTATCTAATTTAGTCATAACCTTATCCTGCAGCTTATCTTATATGTATACAGTACTTTACTTCCAGCTGGAAACAAATTAATTTCAGTACCATCGACTTTACTTGAATGTAATTAAAATGCATGCCAAATGTTGACGTTATATTATAGTAGGTTGGTTTTTTCCTTGCAATTGGCTCATATCTGTATACTCATTTTGTTTCCACTTTCCATGAATTCGAAGTATTAGGCCATATATCTTGTTATTTTTGCTTGTTACTTGATCAAAGTAACTACACTACTATAGAGCTTAGTGATATTTTTTGACTTGGTTCTCTTTTAGTTTTATATTAAACGCAAACCCAAAGCAAACTGTGTTTTTACATTGTTAACATGAAAAGCTCGTATATGACTGAGTTTCCATCGGCATTAACGACAATATGATCTTTCGGATTTTGCCTTCTGCTGTTGATCATCATCATGCTTCTGACTACGGTGTGGAAGCCATTCAAAATTAGGCGCTGTTTTTTTTCAGGCACAATTACTACCATCCAGTTCCAAGCTGCGCCATTATCATCAACAACAGCAACTCACTCTCCCGCCATCATTTCAAGATTCAAACCCAAACCCATTTTAGAAAACAACAACGTTAGCCTGCATCTCCAAAGCAGTGATCCAACCCGCTTTCGACATACATCATATGCGCAGCTCTTCCGAGAATGTGCTCGTGATGGTACACTCGACCTAGGCCGATCCCTCCACCTTCGTATGCTCAATTATGAACCCAGCATTCCCATTGACCTATACACCACCAACCATCTCCTCAACATGTATGCCAAATGTGGGGACTTAAGTACAGCACGGAAGCTGTTCGATGAAATGCCCGACAAGAATTATGTCACCTGGACTTGTCTTATTTCGGGTTACTCTCAACATGGGATGGTGGATGAATGCTTTCATATGTTTCGTATGATGATAGCTTCTCATTGTAGACCGAATGATTTCGCTTATACGAGTGTGCTTTCGATTTGTGATAGTAGTGGTGGTCGGCAAGTCCATGCTATCGTGTTGAAAACCGGATTTTGTGCCTGCGTGTATGTTGCCAATGCTTTGATAACTATGTATTCAAGGAGAAACAGCAGCCCAAGGATGGAGGAGGCGTGGAAGGTATTCAATAGGATGGAATTCCGGAATGTTGTTACTTGGAATGCTATCATTGCCGGGTTTCAAGAACGAGGAGAGTGTATTGGGGCTATGACATTTTTCATCACGATGTGTAGGGATGGTGTTTGGTTTGACCGTGCTACCATTTTAAGTGTGGTTTCTGCATTTTGGGGGAGTCAAGATGAAAAGCTTTCAGGTTGTCTCAAGTGTTGCTTACAAATGCATGGTGTTGCTGTAAAGACTGGATTTGTTTTTGATGTGTCTGTGGCAACTGCTTTACTAAATGCTTATTCGCGTCTTGGAGGAGGAGAGGTTGTTGGTGCGTGTTATCAGTTGTTTCTAGAGACAACTGAAGGTTATCGAGATATTGTTTTGTGGACTGGAGTTATGACTGCTTTTGCTGAGAGAAATCCTGAAGGAGCCCTTATGCTTCTGAATTGTTTGCGTAGAGAAGGTTTGGAGCCAGACTGTTATGCCTTTTCGACTGTACTGAAAGCATGTGGGAGTGGGATGTTTGTGGCCGACAAGCATGCTTTGGCTGTGTACTGTCAAGCGATTAAAGCCGGTTGTACAAATGTCATTGTACTTCAGAATGCCTTGATTCATGCGTTTGCTAGGTGTGGCTCGATTGCCTTTGCCAGGGAAGTTTTTGATGGAATGCTTAAAAGGGATGTAGTTTCTTGGAACTCAATATTGAAAGCTTATGCTTTGCATGGGCAAGGCAAGGAAGCATTGGGCGTCTTTAAACTTATGGTCTTGGATGATGTTGAACCTGATGCCACCACTTTCACTGCAATTCTTTCGGCTTGTAGCCATTCGGGCATGGTGAAAGAAGGGACGGAGATTTTTCATAACATGTTTAAGAAATACAGAGTTTTTCCCCGACTTGATCACTATGCTAGCATGGTTGACATTCTGGGGCGAGCAGGCCATCTACAAGAGGCTGTAAAGATGATAAGGGAAATGCCCGTGGCACCTGATTACGTTGTCTGGAGTGCTTTTGTTGGTGCATGTAGGAAACACGGCGAAACTCAGCTGGCTAATTTTGGGCTATCGAAATTGAAGGAGTTGGATCCAGAAAAATCTCTAGGATATGTTTTACTGTCAAACTTATACTGCTCTTCTGGCAGTTTTGACAACGCTCGTTTGATAAGAAAAGTAATGGAAGGGCTGGGAATAAAGAAGCAAACTGGTTTGAGCTGGACAGAAATTGGGAATCAAATACATGAATTTGCTTCTGGGGGCCGAACACACCCTTTAGGTGATACTATCCTTGCGAATACGAAAGATTTCATTGAGAAATTAAAGAAAATGGGATATGTTCCAGAAACTAGTTTGGCCTTGCGTGACGTAGAAGAAGAGCACAGAGAGGAGGAATTGTATTACCACAGTGAGAAGCTGGCTTTGGTGTATGCTTTGATGATGAATGCTGCTGATTTTAGTGGTTCTATTAAGATCATGAAGAACATTCGTATCTGTCCAGATTGCCACAATTTCATGAAGATAGCATCAGAACTGGCCCAGAAGGAGATTGTTGTGAGAGATTCGAATCGTTTCCATATTTTCAAGAAGGGGCTCTGCTCTTGCAATGACTTCTGGTAACCAAATTCTTTCACAACGAGATTGCTAAAGGAAAATGGTTTTGGGCTTTCGATCTGGGTTTGGGATTGAACTGTCCAGAAAGGCAGCCTTCGTTGCTCAGGTAACATAATTGTTTGTATGATCTGACAAGTTTTTAATGATATAGTTGCTTCTGTTTTCTGTGTGTGTTTCAGTGAAGAATTTGGTGGAACTCTTTCTTTCAATGCAGGGATTTGAGATTTAGAAGAATAGTGTTTAGGAACCAAAGCAGGGATTTGGAAGGTGGCTGGATGACCCAGTCTTCGTCTTCTTAATGGCGGGAAATTACTGCATTTTCAAGAAGGATGGACTACGAACAATATGTTGAAGACATATATACTGGTTAGATGATCCCTTTCACTCGTTAAGGTTTGCAGTTTCACTATTACATAATGGCATGGCCGTAGGGCGTAAATAGAACAATAATTTTGAGACGGAAAAAATAATAGTGTTTGACCGAGAACCATTTATAACAATTTAGTGGCCCCCATTTTCCACACCCAACTCCTAAATAGCGCAATTTATTTCCCAAAAGATATTTATATGCCGTCACGAAATTAAAAATAAATGCCACGTGTAAATCCAAGTGCCACTAGTCCCTCGTAAAAGCGAATCTCATTGAAGAATCTTTTGGCACCTTCTCCACTTCGTCCACGTGTAAACATTTCCTGCCGTTGGATGTTAGAAATCTCCGCCCGATCTATATAGTCTATAGTCCTTGCCACACCCAACCAAAACCTTCACTTTCATAAGTTGATTTGGATGTTTCACTGCTACCGCACCTACATAATACAGTTTTGAGAAAAGTGTCCAGAACCTTCCTCCATTGCTTAGGTAGTACTGTTAGTTAATATAATTGTGAACTTAATCGTTCTGTTTTCTATTTGTGTTTCGTGAGCGGATTTTGGTGTGATTTCTTTTTGTGTTTTTGTTTTCGGGTAAAGGGAATTGAGAATTGAGTTTGAAGAAATGGAGAAGAAAAGTGGCGAGGAGGAATTGAAGCATTTGGGTTTCGTGAAGGTGGCGGCGATCAACGCCGTCGTGTGCATCTCGCACTTGTACGATTACGCGAAGCAGAATTCCGGATCCTTCAAGTCAACCTTGGAAACTGTGGAGAACGCCGTCACGACGGTGGTGCGTCCCGTTTACGGGAGGTTTAAAGGCGTTCCTGACGATGCTCTAGTTTTTCTCGACATGAAGGTAGAAGTTATTTTTGTTTAGATTATTTTTTGTTACTGCTTATAAGTGAGGTGTGATTATGTCAATCCAATCTGATTGATTATCTTCCATTTCTGGTTTGATTATTTATGATCAAGTGAATCGATTCAAACTCGATTTAATTGTTTTTCTGAGCAAATAAACAACTATAAACTCTAATTAAGAAGTAAAATTGAGTATCTGAGGGACTTAGAAGGAAACTTTTGAAAAAGACCGTTTCGATTGACATGTAATTGAGGCAAATAGCCTATTGAGTGTTTTCTGGTTATTGTTGCTTTTGTGCCAAAATTCTGTGAAATTATGAATGTGCCTGAATGATCACCTGGATTACAAGAGAACGGAGATGCTTTAAGTTATTGAAATTCACATGAGAGTTAGTGTGTTTGTGCTTTTGGTGCTTCTTGTTCTGGCAAGGGCTTTAGTTCTGAATTTATGTGGAGTTTCCTGTGATCACACAATAATGGTGCGTGTTGTTGGTCTTTTATGGACATCGTTGTGATTCCATCTTGTCGGACATTTATCATTTACTTCTCATTCGAAAATTGTACATCATGCTCTCAATGATTTCTTTATTTCCTCAATGACTTTTTCACTTCTCCAATACAACTTAAAATCATACAATCATGTACTCAATGGATTTCTTTAATTTCTCAAGTTGACTTTTTCACTTCTCCAATACAACTTTAATACTATCTCTAAGTTAAAATCAAACAAAAGTGAAAATGCTGTCCATGCATACCCTTCATCATTATGTTATTCACTTTCTTCGTGTTTTACTTTTTTGAACTTCAGTAATTGTGCATTGGAAATTATAATCTTTCTTTCAAGCTATGATACGATTTTAGCTGCTTTATCTTCAGCTTATAATGACCGAGTCCTATTTCTAGTTTCTGTCTCTGTTTCTGTGGCTGCTTCATAACCTAAGCGATCGTTCCTTTTCATACTTTGTTAAGCTATGTGTGTCTATCTTTGTTATTGTGCTGCTGGTGCTTCTGATTCCTGGTGAATTTGGCAACAGTTTCTCTTTCTAGAAAGAAATCCATTATTGTGGGGTTATCTGAAGATTAAGATTTTCTTTGCTGAAACTATGTGTTGGGACCTTTTCTTTTCATCCTTTTTACCCTTTTTACTCTGATATGTGGTTTAACCTTGTCTTGTTTGGGTTTTTGCATCGTTTTGAGACTGCAGAATTTGTATATTGCAAACGATCTCTTTCAGCAATTGTGTGGGGATCATTTTCCTTTTTGTTTCCAGCCCTTGTTTTAAAATCCCTGGACATTCACTTTTGTAACTGAATCCATCATTCTGTTTCTCTCAATCTATCTTCTGTGCTGAAAGTGAATTTGTTCCTGTGGTAACTAGGTTGATGAATTATCCAATCAATTCGATAAATGTGCTCCTCCAGTGGCCAAGTCTCTTGCGAGTAAAGTGCAGCAGTTAGTCAAGCAAGCTTCAGAGGTTGCCGCATACTTGGCTCGGGAAGTAATAGTCAGTGGCCCCTGTGCGACCTTTTCTAGTGCCGCATCTTTGTCCAAGAACTTTTTTGTGAGCAAATTAGCCTTTTTATGGTACGAAATCAATCGCTTCCCACCGGTGCACTTGGTGGGAAATATGGCCTTGCCAACTGTTGCTTACTTTTCCGAGAGATACAACAACTTCACATCCAAGATGGATGCCAGGGGGTATCATGTCTTTGGATATTTCCCATTAGTTCCTATAGATGATTTTATTAAGGCATACAAGCAAGTTGAAGCTGCTGCTGTTGTAAAGAAAGATGATTAATTGTGATGTGTTGCTTACTTGGTAATAATAGGACCTTATGTACCCCATGGTAACGGTGGTTATGAGAACTTCCTGCTGGAGAATTGAATGGGAATGTGTTGTAAAGAATGGTTTTTATGTTCTTCTGATATACTGTAGTAATATCCATGGAGGTCCGTGTGTCCATTATTTTACCCTGTGATGGTGGCCGCTATCAGTTGTTCACACCTTATTTATTTCTTACTTGTCACAAAATAATTGTGTATTTTTGGTAATGTTCTCTTGCAAATTAATTGGGATCTGTAAAAGAGGCTCTAGTAATAGTTGCAACAAGATTTTAATCAGGGAAAATTTGGTTAAAGCACAGTAGAACATGTCAAATTAATAAAAGGGGTATGACCTTAAAATATTTTTTATGAAAAGCGCATAGTTTATTTGTCAAGAATCACAAAATAAAAAATCCTAAAAAATTGACTATACCATTCTTATAATTTGGGTTACCGGAGTGAGATTACTCTCCGGAAATCAACCTAAAAGATGTCCCACAGGATGCTTTGATTGGAGCAAGCACTCTCCATGCCTCTGAGTCTGATGAAAGTTCGGGGCCTGTTGCTTCGAGTCAGTTCACAACATCTCAAAGCTATGTTAACCAATTATTGTGCTTTAACAAATGGCCATTCCCATCGATTCCCATTTCATCTTTCAAATTCATTGTTACATGCTATTTCCTGGGATTGAGAGAACTTATAGAGTCAAAATTCCTGAGTGTTTTAGGTGCTCTTGATCTTCATTTTTGCTTGGATACTAACCCGTTTTGTTGTGGGTTATTCAAATAAAGTTTTTCTTTGTAGGCGGCAAAAGTCTGTTTAGTTATTAAGCAGTTGAAGAGGCGGCAAAATCCTTTTATTTCTTTGCCGCATTAGAATAGATCTGGACTTGATCTCTAAAAGACTTTTGATCGTCTTTCCTGGAGAAAATTCTTTTTTCTTTTTTTGTTAATGGTTAACATCCTTCATTATTATTTCAGTGAAAGCTGTGCTTTATTTACCATGGTTTGCTAAAAAGTGTATGCAGAGTTTGGATTAACCAGGTGTAAGGTATTGTACTAGGGTGAGTTATGATGATAATGCATTCTCCAATGCTCTGAAGATGTATGAAGGATAAGGCAATTTAGTTCTTAAAACTTATACTGAGTTTGATAAATTATCCTGACATTTAGTTCTTAAAACTTATACTGAGTTTTTAATGGCTTTTCCTATTGCAGTGTTGGGCGTTATTTTATGGTTTCCAACAATGACTGTAGTATAATAATAATAAAAGGTAATATTTTATGATTTTAAAAAGGTAATAAAAACATAAAGGTAATTATATCATTTTTAAATTATATTGATTTTGTTATTTTTGACAAATAAACTACCGTATTTTATATAAAATATTTTAAAGTCATACCACTTTTATTAATTTAACCTGTTCTATTGCCCTTTAGCCTAATTCTCACTTTCAATTGCACATTAGAAAATTGAATGTTCCCCTATTTCTCAATCAATTCTAGGGGTTTTTTCTAGTTTGTTTAAAAATAAATAAATAAATATGAGGACTGACCAAGTAGAAAATCGAGTAACATTATATTAGGTTCGGTCCGCAACGACTTTACACCGTCTTAAAATGTTATATTTTAATACTTTTCACATTTTTTTTATACAATTAAAAAGGCAAAACGCCTTAAATTACGACAAACTGGGGGATGGATTTGGAACTGTACAGCTAGGAACGTAAATTACAGGAGGTTGATGTAGTTCTGTTCACATTTTTGTCCTCTTGTAAGTATATTTCTTTGATACAAAGTAAAAATTTATAATCTATGTAGATTAGTTTTAACAATTGGAATTTGTTAGAAGTAAAAATGACATTTATTAAATTCTAAACCATAAAGTAAAATAAGAATATTTTGAGAATAATTAAAAAATTTTATTTTTGTTAATTTTTTTGTCGGCTTTAGCTACGAATACACAACCCAACCATTTCAACAAAAAAATCGACATTTTTAGACGTTTACATTGATATTTTTTAAATCAACAAATACGTCCAAGCAACAAAATTTTAAACTCAAAAATTTTACTTAATATTAGTCTACATTGATATTTTTTAAATCAACAAATACGTCCAAGCGACAAAATTTCAAACTAAAAAATTTTACTTTATTAGTTGCGTCAGACTTAGTCTACTTTGCAAAGCCAACAGTAGAGTCGACGAATACAAAAATTATTTGCAAAATTTCACTAAATGGTCAAAGATTTAAGCATTACAACTACGATTAGAAGTGTTGAAAACTCCGAAATCTAACAAAATTAGATTGACACTTCTCATTTATCATATTTTGCTTCTTTTTACTTTTAGTTGCTAGGATAGAAATTAGAAAAGCCACGTTAAATTTGCATAAATGCACCTTGAAATCGGACGATGCAATATAAATGAAATTTAACAAAACTCATATTAAACCAATTCTTGCCAATGACCATTAAACACGTCACATTAACCTTCCAGAGAGTCTTTTATTAGATCCTAATATCAATCTGGACCCGGGGGGTGTAAACTAGCATCATGGGCATGACTGCACAGTTCAACTGGATGCTTTCCACAAGTTACAAAATCACATTTCATAATGATTGGCAGACACCAAGAAAATAATAAAAGCAAACAAAATAAATATGCGACAACATTAACACCTGAGTCCCTTATTTGAAGTTTAATCGGTGCTAGAAAGAAGTCACATGTGTGATTACAAACAGGCAAAGAAAGAAACATGAAGACTCCACCTCCTTGCTCCCCCAACAAGGCTTACCCATCATTCTGCAAGCAGAATAAATTAGTAAGAATCTTCTAGCTACAATCAGAGCTACAATTTCTTCTTTGAGCAGGAAATTTATGCAAAATACAGGAGCTATAACAAGAAAGGCTAGCTAAATAGCTTTTATGGAAATTGTTCGATTTTAAAGTCTTCACTTGCTCTATATTTTACACCTACATTCTAGTTCCATAGTTACTAGTTGTGATCAATCAGCAGGTATGACACCGTTAACTGTTCATACATGGCAACCAAATACAAAGCTCAATATAATACGGCAGACAATCTGAACAGCTCCATATCTCAGATACAAAGAGTTATTTTCAAGTTCATAAAGCTCTGCCTTAATGGTCAACTAATCCGACTCTTCGTACAGCAAATACTAATGCATAACAACCTTTGAGAACATGCTAAAGAGACTCCTACCATAATGATGCAAGTCGTCACATAACTCAAATATGCACTTTTAACAGTAAAAATTGATGCACGACATAAGGAAGTAAAGACAAGCATAATGCTTAATGACCTCCGGAAACATGTTAAAGACGCTGAAATATACATGATCCTCTTAGACGAATTAAGGCAGCAAAATCATCCACAAGAAGGGAGAGTCGAATGTGGGATGATATTAATTATGGTAAATCTCATTCCACAAACGACAGCAATTAAGCCTTCATCTCAATACATCAGTTCAGCTACATTATCATACTTCACTCTTGTGTTCTGTTAAAATCCACAATTTCTCGCTTGTCCCCTTCCCCATTGAAAAGTTACATACCACATGGATCTAAAAATAAGGGAAACAGTGCAGCCAGCAGATTATGAAATAAAACACAAGGAACAACAAAATTCAAACTGGAATGAATTAAATGAAAGAAACAAAAACTCAACCTAAAGAATCAAAAGTCAGTATCGGAAATACATACTATTTCTTAGTTGAAGGATCACTGGAAACGGGAGTCGGTTTGGTGGCCTCCTGAAGGAGGTCATCATAGGGATCACGGCGGCCAGCAACTTGACTGATCTGAGCATCCCAGAAAATCTGAGCATTGTGGCGTTCAAAGGTCCAGAATCCGTAGGGACGCAAAGGCAGAGCCCACATCTCCTTAGTCTTGTTACACCTGTCTTTCAAATGGTACAAGTGTTCCCTAAATTTCTTATCCCTTTCTTTTGGATCCTCCATCATCCTCAGAATTAAGTTCTCCGCAAATTCCATTATAAACTTCATCCTCTTTCTTTCCTTCTTCCTTTTTCCTAATAAAACACACATCCACAGACAATGAGAGAAACTTAAGAAGGGAAAATATCAACAATAAAAATACACTTCATCCCATATCTCGCCATTGTGCTCGGAGAAATAGAAAATCTCATTTGATTCCATTACGTGATTATATCTTTTTCCAGCTTCTTTTAGAAAACTGAATCAACCGATACCCAAGAAAACAAAAATTGAGACATAAATACAAATCTGTAAGTTCTTCCTTAGAATATATAGCATCAATTTCAAAGCTTTCCTTCCCAATTAATTCGAGAGATATTTATGGTAAAACCCAACCCAAATAAAAAATGAAGACTCGGAAACAGTAATTTCATCGAGAGGCTTTCATATCGGATTACACGGAATACATACAATTTCATCAGAATTCTGATTGTATTGCGTTCTCGAAATTGAAAAGAAACCCTAGGTAGAATTAACTCAAAATGCATCAAAATCTACATATCCATTAAAATCATGGAAACGCAATTAAATAGCTGAAGATTGAAGTTCTTTAAAGGAAAATAACAAGTGAATTACCTGATGATGATCGGTCGGGAGATTTGTGATTGAGCAGCTGAGATTTCTATCAACTGAATGAAAATGGAGGTTGAACTGTTGAAGAGTTCAGATTTATGGGCCTTTTGGATTAAATACAGCAGAAATGTTTTGGTCTTACTGTTTCGAGTTTGACTCTAGAAACTGGCAAATGACTACATCGAACTTGTAGTAAACCATCTAATTGGGCCAATCTAGCCCAATGGACTCATTCTCCATAGAGTAGTACACAAAAATAAAACAAGAACGAACCATATGATGATGGATCATATTCTACAGAAAATTACATTTTTATGTTTTGAAATTAATTTTCATGTCTAGGAAAAAAAGAAAAAAGGGTAATTATTAGTGAGGGAAAAAAATAACAAGTAATTGATCATAACCATTCATTCTTAAAACTTTTCATTTGGGGTTTAACCATTTAAGGTTAGGACATAGTTTTAATGAATGACACATCATTCTTTGTTAGTTTTCCTTGTAATTTCTCCCTGTACCTATCACTACTAAAAAAAAAAATTGTTTGCCACAAATGGAAATTGAAATTTATAACCTTAATACTTCCTCTTTGAATTGGAGTAAAGAGTAAGGAATGCTATTATTTTTTTCAAAATTTGACTTGCGGTCTTAAAAATAAACACATAAGGCTCATTCTCCAAACTACAATGCGAAGCTAACACTAAAAGAGGAATAAAAGAGAAAAGGCAAAAGATTGATTCTACGACTAGCATGGAATATGGCCCATCAAATACATGGAAAAAAAGAACCGCGAGATTTAATATAAATATTCGATTGATATTAGAACTTTTTCTTTGGGCCCTCTTAGGAGACTAGCATATTATGAGAAAAGCCCATTACTTGTAGGTGCTAAATGAGACACAAAGAATGGAACATTTGTGGTAGGGTAAAAGGAAATGACTTTTGGTGTGTATTAAGCATTCCTTTCTTGATTGATACATATGCATGACATAATCACAACAAAATTCGGATTCTTTTATTTATTTATTTTTTGCACTCTGAAGAAAGTATGGTCTTATAAAATCTAAATATACACATTAACGGAATTTGCTATTCCGACAACATTATACTCCAATCGTATATACTTAGACCGTCGCACTTGTAGGCACTATGTCTATAAGACTATAACCCTCTTGGGCATATACTGCCATAGTTACTAAATTATCTATTGTAAAATAAAACTCTCAAAAAGAAAATATGTGCCTCAGCTTACCTGATGGAGGGTGCGGATTTTTATTGTAAGGTTATTTTAGTACTAGACCATCAACTTAGAAACCTTGATTTTCGATATTTGTTTGGATTTAACATTTCGTCATTAATCGGAAAAATCACTATTTATTGGACCATAAATTAGAAATAATTAGTGATTCGGTTACCTGTGTGTATTTTTCGATCAATTAATATAGGTTCTGCTGTGTCACTATCTAATCTCGACAAAGTAGCTGATTCGTTGCACAGACATTGCTAATTCCAAACATGTCGTTATCCCCGTAAACCATCATCCTAATGCTTTAGTTATCTACTTTCGCCGTTACCTTCACTATAATCCAGAGATTTTGAGTTTGTAATTTGTTAAAGGATGAGTTCTTAATAGTTGGTTTGAAGGTTCTTCATAAAGTTTATGTATCCATTAAAAATAGAATATCCTTCCAGAACTTGATGCCTACGACGACTTTGAGCAATACATCTATTCTTAACTCTTCTACTTGTACAACCAAATAATTAGTTGTACTTTTGTAGTACTTAAACTCACTCTCCCTGTACTAAAAATATGATTGAACTAATAAAAGTCTACTAAATCTTGTACATCGACCTCTACTTTAATCAAGTGCAGATGGCCGACTAACGTCAATCTTTTTCTTTTTTTTTTTATCAACAATTAATTCTAAAAAAAAAAAATGTTAAGAAAGACAATGGAATGGGGGTACTAGATCGACGTGCAGAGATGAACATGCTGTTTGATCATTCAATTTTCAGTACGCATGTCAAATGAAACCAATGCCCACCTAATTTTTTTGGTGAGAAGTCAGCGGTTCGAATAACAAAAAAATGAATATAATTAATTAATGTAATGGTACGTAATTAACATACAAAAAGCATGCACTATATTGAATCTGGATTCTGGAACAAACAACTAATGTGTACTGCTGCTGCTTTCTACCAAATCGACAATAATTACGACTATACGCACGTATTCGAAGAGTTTGTTGGTTTATTTTGTTCTGCTTCGGACTTGCTTACGTAGTTGTTAACCACCGCGAAGATTATATGTTTTTAACAATATATTTTGGAATTCATTATTAGTTTTAAGCTTTAATTTTTACTTTTTACTGTAAGTAAAAGAGGATCGATACATTGATTTGAAAACATACCAGCGTGCGTTGAGAGTTTTATTGCAACAATAGTGTTTCATTCGGTGCATTTTCCCGTTGCAAAAATATAACACTATTTTTCTATGTGCAAATTTCGGTTCAAGGCAATCTATTTGACCATTTTAATGGTACATATTATTCATAAAATTCACAATAAAGATCGTTTGTACCTTTTTTATTTTTTTCAATCATACGAGATTCAAGTTTTTGGATCAATTTTAATTTAATCCTCCTTGTTTTTTAAGGTATACAAGTGTTTTCATTAGGCCTGTTGGCAAAATTAGGAACAACTATCTCAATATATATATATATATATATACATATATATATACACACTTTGTTAATTGTGAAGCTAAAATCATATTAACTTTGCTAAGTTAGAACAGTTCCAAGAGAATTCTTGTGTCTACTCCAAAAAAAAACCAACAACTTAGCCGACGTAAACATTTTATTTTTTTCATCGTTGTATGGATTAGTTTGCGGTCAAGACTCCAAGCAATAAAACAAGCGTTTAGTTGTCTATATTTAGGTACAATTGATGCCATTGTGAAGATGATTCGATTCGAACTTCGAAAGATTCCGTACGTAGTTTCTACAAAGGAATGATCTATGTTATCTTTTCGGCAAAAGCTCTGCATTTGGATACCAGTAAAGTCGATGCAATCCCAAGAAGAGCACATTTTGAACTAGTTGATGATATCCATTATTCATATCGCATCAAATGTGTCTGCAAAGTAATTATTGCACAGTTTGAAAATGTATATTTTTTTTAATTTGGTCAATACACCAATTTTACAACTCATTTTATGCCTCTAACTTCCACTAATGCCGCTTCTAGTTATTTCTATAAAATTTAACTACATATGCATTTATTTTACAACTTAAATTTAATCAAAATTTTTATCTCAAAAGATAAAGATCTTGATAGAAAGATCTCGTTACGTAGATTAATTTGATATATAACATATTTTTTAATTATTCATGTATTAAAAGATATAATCATTTGAAAAAATGAGAAAAAACTAAAAAAAATGAAAATCAAAGGAAGTGGACATTGTTTTCCTTACCACTAATCTTTTAGATATTTAAATCATTTTAATTCAATTAATTTTGACTTTTGTAAAACTGGACTATTTTTTTGGGGATAAACTTTTTTATTAAACTGTACTATTTTTGTGAGAAAGAGGGAATATATCCGAAAACAAGGAGCTGGATTGAACTTTGCGTTTCGAAGGAAGGCAAGTCAAATTCAAAATAATTTTACTCCTTCCCAAAATAAGTAATATATAAATTTACAATTTCTAACACCGTTTAAATCATTGATGTCGAGAGTTCCTTAAAATAAAATTGGATTGTGGGATCCAAACCAGCTGACGGATGAGATAGTGGAATTGAACCGTCTTTATAATTCGATACCGTATTTTTCATAATTCAATTTCAACAAAAGATTGCACGAATTGGTAATGAGTAACACCGTCGATAACACTAGATATACCGTATCCAAGTATAATTTGGGCTGTCAGATCGGGCGGGTTTAGTCGGTTCGGGTGAATTTGATTCGGGTTAATCGTTTTTTTAGTCATATGAACCGTCCGAAACCGAACCGCAGAAACTATTAAACCGAACTGAACCACCGAATAAACACTCCGATTTGGCGGTTCGGATTCGATTCAACCGAATCAATACAATCGTAATTTCAGAGATTCATTCCCTGAATTGAATCCTTGAATCAGCAAAACTTCAATCCACCAAAAAAACACATATTTCAAAAATCACCCCCAAAAAATCACAAAGGATCAGAAAACACAAATCTCAATCCACCATTCGACATTCGATAATTGGAAATGAGGTCGTCAGCTCCGGTAGGCGAAAATTGACAAGTTTTCCGACAAAGTAAACCCCGGAGACAGACTAACAGGGGAAGGGTATTGACAGATCAGATCTAGTGGTATGTGTTCGAGGAGATGTATGTGTTGGTGATTGAGTGACGTGTGAGCAATGGGGAAGTGACCGACTGACGCGCCGACCGAAATAATTAACTTTTGAAACTACCAGATCGGGAAGGAGCAGCGAACTAGAGTATTAGATCTGGAAGAAAAAATATTGGTTTGAAGGAGATTAGTGGTCAGCCGGATTTGTTTAAGGGGATGAGCAGATGGTCGGATTGTGGAGGTGGAGGTGGGAGTGGGAGAATAGCGTCGCGGCATCTGCACACAACAATCAAAAAGAAGAAGAAATGAAAATACCCCCAAACTGATCAGCCCTAATACATTAGTATTTATATTTTTAAAAAAAATTAATTAATTAAAAAATTAATCGGGTTGAAAATTTTTTTTTACAACCTGCACCCGCACCGAAATGTCTTTGCGGTTTACCAGGTGCACCCGCAATCCCCCGAATTATCCGATAAACCGAACCGTTTCACCTAAATTGGGTTTGGTGCGGGCGGGTCTTCGGATTCACCCGTTTAATTGATAGTCCCGAGTATAATAAAGGAGAAAAAAGAAAGAAAGAAAAAAAAAGAGAGAGAGAAGAAAATGCCATAGATAAAAATATTGGCGGTTTTTTTCCCAATGATTAAAAAAAAATAAAAAGGAAAAAAGATAGACAACAATATGGGTGTTATTATCAATGTTGGCCACACAAAGAAGGCATCAGGAAAAGCTGGAATCATAAAAGGGATTATGTATGATGTGTGTGGGAGAGTAGTCATTGATGATTGAATTGCGGTTATAGAGATTCTCTCATCTTTCATTATCAAAATTTCTCTAAGTGAAACAACCCAACAACGCAATACGGTCCTTTTAGTTACAGAAATGAGCAGTACAAATTTGCCCAAAATATATGAAAAAAGAGATAGGGATAGATGGCCAATATAACTCTCCTCATTTATGTGAGACAATTATGTATCCCATTCATCTAAGCAAGATGGCCTTAGCCGTCCCGAAAAGAGGATCTAAGTATATTGGTGAGACAAGATTCCCCCGATTTTGCAAAGTTTACAGCACAAACCTAAAAAACCACCTCACTAAAATTCTTCCATTCTAAGTGATACATGTGTACTATTAGTACTACATTATCCTTAGTTACATGAAAGTTACATCCGACCTTAAAATATGACCAGTTTTTGTGATCGGCTTGCCTGATGTTTTTGAAAGGGAAAAAATTAGCCGTCTTTTTTAATCCTTTAAATTATAACCCTCTTTCGATGAGTAGACTGAATTCAAACAGGTCGATCCAAAACTCGTTTAATTTATTTTGCCGTTTTGGGAAAAAAAACAAAAAAAAATTTATATTAATTTGGGAGAGAATCACTTTTTAAGAAAGTAGTGTCATATACTTCAGGCAGGCCCAATGCCAGAAATGCTCAACATAAATGCCGAAATCGAAATGTCAATGGTGGTTGCTGCTGCTATGCAATGCAAGCTTGCTTCTAGAGGTGGGCGCAAATCTGAATGAAAAATGATAGCCACCCACCCAAAATTCAAAAAGATTTTTGCAGTCCCCTAGGAAAGAGATGGTACAAACTGCAGAAACTGGAAACGTGAAAGTGGTTATAGCAAAAAGCCACAAATGTATGTCTCCCCTCTTCAGGTTAAGGTGTTGTCCTTCGCATTCTTATAAACCAAAAAATTAGTTGCCCACCTCCAACCAACACAATATTATGGGATCCCTTAAATGAAGCATTGGCTTCTTAACCACTGCTTCCCCCTGCTTTTATGTTTTCTCTCCCCCAATTTGGGATAATTTGATTTTTTTTTTTTTTTGTGTCATTGTTAGAACTGGTCATGCTATAATATTCGTTATATCGCTCCATTTTATCAGATGTTTATGAAGGGACGGATTATGAAACAGAATCAATCATTGAAGTTGATGAACTAATACACTTTTAAAAACTTTTTAGAACCCAATTAAACGAAATTCTTAACTTAAAGTTGATACACCAAGAACAAAACATGCTCCACAACCCACATATATTACTATTAATTAGTAATGTAGATAATAATCATGATAATTGAAGAAAGAAAGAAAAGAACCAACATGTATAATAAGTGCATCACTACTGGCAGCAGTAGTACTACTAGCTAGCACCATCAATTCAAATCAATAGAATCAGTTCTTCTTTTATATAGATTGCTTGCAATTTTTCTTCAAATATTCAGGGGGGTGTTTGCTTTTACAGATTGGGTTACTTATGGACCTCAAAAATCCCCGCTTAAAAAACAAACCAACCAACCATGTTCTTCCTTTTCTTTTTTTCTTTCTCCGCTTTCGAAAATGCACTCTCTGTAAACCTGTTCCCCACAAACCAAATTCCTCACTTTCTTTACTTTAACTTTCAATAAAATTGTGTGCAAATAATGAATGCTTCTTTTTTAGCAGTATTTTTTTTTTTTTGGTACTGTTTTAGTAGTTGGTCAAATTGGTACGACCTTTTTTGACCAATCCATTGGCATTAGCTTCAAAAGGCAGAAAAAACTCAAAAAGGGAACCACAATTCCTTGGCAAGTATAGTAAATTGCTGTTCTTCTCTGGTCGGGAAATGGAATTCATTGATTATATATAGACAGCAGTAGTTTAGTAGGAGCCCTGTATTCTTCATTTCAATCACAATACATTCTGACCACCTAGGATTCCATTTCCCAATTCCACATCCCATCCATCCATCTTTCTTCCAATTTTTTTCCCCATTAAAGAAAAACCATATAACACAGTTAATCTAATGTTCAAGATCTAAATAAATTTCTTCATATTATGTTTCAATAGTTTGTACTAGGTGCTAATCTACCCCTTCTCAAATCGTTACTCATACCAATGTAAGACACTCAAATTTGAATAGGGTATCATACCTATGATAATGTAATAGGGATATCGTAGGCTAGGGATAATGTAACCGTCTAGTATAAACATTGTCTCTTTATGTAACCAAAAAAAAACACTGAAATTTGAAACTAACTCTGATCTTATGCCAAAAAAAAAACTACAATTTTGAAAATCTTGCTTCTAAATAAGGAAAATTAGACTTTTTTTAAAAAAAAACCGAAAATTAGTCTGTTAAGGAAAATTAGTCTTTTTTTTAAACCGAAAATTAGTCATTACGTGAACCTGAATGTTGGAGAGTCTGAATTGAACTGTTTTAGTTCATCAAATTAATGTTTTTAAAAAATATTATTGAACAATTAAAATATTATTGAACAATGAGTAATCAAAAGCCAAATCACTCTTTTCCTCTACTTCTATCAAGTTTTATTGGGATGCCAATTGGAAGATGTACACAAGTTGGCTGCATTTAGCGTTTGGTTTTTCTTCTCTGTGGCCTACATATCTCTAGGATTCTCATTCTCAGAACAGCTCTCACATTTATTGCAATAGGAAAAAGAAATCAAAGAATGAAAGGGGAAAACAAATAGAAATCCAAAATTATGAGTTGTTAACAGTATATAGTTCTAGCCTTCTTAAGTTGATAAGTTTGAAGTTTGAACTTCACTTTCTCTCACGTTTAAGTTATGGGGGGAAGACCTTTTCTTACCTTAAGGTAATGGGAAAAAGATGAAACAAAACAAAACAAAAAACAAAAGCAGCCCAATTACAATTGTTATCGTTAAATGCAGTCCTTTTTTCACCTATATATCTCGTTTTTTTGTTTGGTTAGTATCATGTTTAAGAGAAGATCGAAACGTGTTTATTTGGTAACCCCCAATTTGTGCGCCCACATTCACATGTGAACCTGTCAAGAACCCAAAAGGTTTTTAATCAAAATCAACAACTAAATCTTTTTAGTCTTCAACGTTACATGCAGTCTTAATTAGAATGCTTAAAATCAATAAAACGCTTAATTTTTCCTTAACAGAAAACGATGAGGGCCAATGAACAGATAATTTTTCTATGATGACAACTAAAAATTCAAAATATGTCCTAACGGAAAAATAACTTATATAATTATGTAGATTCAGAAAATACATTCATTCGAATCCCTTATCAAAATGATAACGCAAAATTCTTCTCGAATGTATATGATCACAAGTCACAACATATAAGATGATTTGTTAACCTCTCATGAAGTTAATTCAATGGATCACATATTAACTTATTATGTTAGAAAAAGAATTAAAAAAAAGTAGAAGTACTAGGATGACAAAGTAAAATCCCCAGCAAATGAAGCATCTCTTTGATGATTTGGTCAGGGAAGGAGGAGACATCAAGATTCATACCTTAGAAGCACACAAGGCATCATCATCACCATCAATTTATCATCTTTACCCCCTTTTTTTTTCTTTATCCCTTTTTTTTAGTATTACGGGTCACAGCCGATTAATTGACGATATCCCAAAAATATGTAGTAAAAAAAGATTAATTTCCAAACATCAAAATAAATTTTCAAATTTCTATTTTTAACCTTTGTTCCATACTTTTCAAACGATATTTAACAAAATCAATAATATAGATTGTATTCACAAAAAATAAAGAAATTTTTTTCCAAAGGAAGGGAAATAGAGCAGGGAATGTGACAACTTCCGAATTTACTTTTCTTTTTTTCTTTTTTTACAAGGCTCATGATCGAATATTTCCTCTCTTTTTTTTCCTTTGTTCCCACACAAAATTGCCTAATTTCTTTTCTTTTTGTTTTCTTCTCCTTCCATAATTTTACCAAAGACTCACGTGCCGTTACCGTCACATTCACAGTCTCACGCCGTCAACTCAACTATCCATTTCCACCCGCATTTCTTCATCCCCAACGTTGCCATGTACGTTATCATCTTCCTCTCCCTCTTCTTGCTCGTATTCCATGTCATCGCCGTCAATTTCTCCGTTAACGTCACCGTCAACGTTGGCAACATTTCCGTCCATGTTTTCTCCTTCCTCGCCTATCAATTGTTCGGCTGGTGTGCACTCAGCTTTATGTCGCATCTTCCAATCAAGCGCCTGACAAGCGCGTGAGCAATAATTCACTGACCCACAAACGGAGCACCGCCGGAACTCATGCTTCCTAGTCTCCGGCCGTCCACATCCCGAATGTGAGCACAGCCTCAATCCCGGACCCGGATTTCCTCCCCGAGCTGCGTACCAGTCCGTTAAAAATCGGTTGGCCGGATGTGCTTCCGGCACCGGAACATTGCATCCAAAATCACTCAGCAACGGGCAGCCGGTAGCTACAACCCCGTTACGTTGGTGAGCTGAGGCATTCAATGTCATCCAATTTCCGTCACCTTGTAAACGGTAGTTGGCCGGAGTGCTCAAGCTCAACCAATTATCTGAAAATGTCGAAGGTGTGGCCGACAAAACAGCGGCCAATTCACGCGCGTTGGCTTGTACAAGAAATCGCCTACCTTCGGATATATTTTGCTTCACACCATACCCGTCTTGCAAGCAATGACCAAGCTCCCGGAGAGCGTCGATGTGACCAAGAAAAGCGGCTCTAGCACAGAGAGCAACACCGGCGCGGAGATCCTTATCATTTTTTGACCCTCCGCTCCCATTAAATTGAATAACAGACAGTGAATAAAGTGCCGGCGCGTGTGAGCTAATCGCCGCCTTTGCCATCAAGGACGCTCCACTCCCGCGGTTTTGCAAGCAATAAAATCTAATCTGCATTTATTGATTTCATTGCCACATTAGATTAGATGGGATGAATGAGAGGATGAAAGAACAATAAATAAATAAATAAAAAAGATAGAGTAGCAGATGTGTACTCACCATGCCGAGGATATAGGAAGCTTCAACATTTCCAGAATCGACACATAATTTTAAAAATTGATGAGCGTATTCCGACCATTTATCTGCTTTAACAGTTAACATTTTCTGGGACGATTTGGAGAGGACCAAGGAGCTAAATGCTAATTCATTAAATCTTTTGCACCTGTTCAATTCAAACAAGAATCCGAGTCAATATTGTTTTCAATTCATATATGGAAAACAATTACAAAAATCAAAATTCGTCGAGGAGACTATACACATACGTTATTAAAACGTTAATAAAATCGGCTGGACAAGTGGCGGTGGCGGTGAGCTTGGAGAGAATGAAAACAACCAGATCGTCTGGTAAGGCCTCAAAAAAGTCAGAGCAGCCCATTCCTCCATCTACCTTATCTGCTCTATCTGTGGTGGCAGGTGACGAAGAGAACACCAACTTGGCCGCCTTTCTCCGGCGACCATCCATCCTTTCCGCCACAACTCGCCGCCGACGACCAATAATCTGTTCAGCCACCAAAATCTCATCTCTTCTCCTCTTCTTCTTCGTAGATGATACCGATATTCTTCTTCTGTCGCCATCATCTGGTTCACACGATTCACCAAAATTTGCAATAAATCTTGGATAGCAAACACCACTCCTCGTTCTCATGGGTTTAATAGTAAAGGACTTAATAATATAGAAGATGAACACGGATAATATACACTTTGAGGAATTTATGTTGAATAATATGTACGCCAGAACTAAGAGAGAGTGTTTGGCTAATTTTTATGGTCTGAAGATGAGAAAAAATCTTGTAAGGATAAAAAAGAGTTGAGAATGTAAGGCCTATATATAACAGCAGAGGATTGGGGACAGAAACAGCAACAACGACATGGCCGATCGTTAAAATGATTTAAAAATTAATTACAAATATAAGTGTAGTTGCCCAACAAAGCTGACTACTGACTCCTACTTATTTTTGGAAATGACTTATACGTCCCTCATTTTTAACTTATTTGTGGTTGTTCCCATTTTACTAGGATTCTGTGTCCCTGACTCCTTTCCATTTACAAGCAGGAGGAATACGAGTCAGTCCCATTTACTACTACTTGGTCAAACTTAGTTGACCAGATCCGCACGCTCGTCTCCCACGACGCTTCCTCTTTTTTTATTTTCTTTTTTTTTTCTTTTTCTTTTGTTTTTTGTTTTCTTCCTTTTCTCTCTCTTTTTTTTTTTCCTTTTTTAACTCAACTATTTTCCACCCTAAGGAACGTATGTACAGTTCATTTTTTGTACAATCCATGTACTCGCACATTATACACGTGCATAGGTGAATGTATTGTATTTTGGTTTCTATTTTCAATCATTTAATTATTATATATCTAAGTTTTTTACAATTTTAATCATCCTACCCTATTTGTCCTAGATGTAATATGAAGAGGAGACATTTTAATTATCCAAAACATCGTGAAAATTAATGATTGTTTTAGTGATAAATAGCAATGACAGTCAGGGTAAGAACATAGTTGTGAGTTTGTTGTGATTACTAGTGTATAACATATATGTCAATGAAGGGGTGGCCTAATGGTAGAGGTCTTGGCATCAAACTGCAGTGACGCGAGTTCAAATCCTCACGACATCGATTTATTCTTAGTCATGTTTTCCTGCAAGGTAGGAGGCAGCAGTAGCCAAAAAAAGTACTTTAACAGTGAACAAGCGGACTGAACATGAATGTGTAGAGTCTCCTTCGTAGTAGTATTATCCCCCTCCTCATGTACCCCACCTATGTAATAGTCTAGTCACTTGTAAGTTGATTCTTAGAAAAAAAAAATTGTATAACATATCTCAATTAATTTACTTGACAACCCTTGACTTGTTTTTTTTTTTCCTTTTTTTTGTCTTATTTACAATCCATGTACATGATTTTCACATGTTATAAACAGAATAAGGTGTGGAATAACTTTTTTTAGAATGTATTTAGATTTTACAAGTGCACGAAGAATGTTTTCTTCAAACTCAAGTCGTTTCATACATGTGTATCTAAGTTTGTTACAATCAAGAATCTTTTACTTCGTTTTACCAAGTTAAAAAATAAATTTAAAAATTTCAAATTATGCAAAAAAAAAAAAGAAGAAAAAAAGAAAATCAAAACTTACGGCTCTAAAATCACGACTCTAACCTGTATGTTGGGTACAATTAGTGTCATTAACGTTGTACAATCAGTGTGGGAGTTTTGGACAGTGAAAGACATGCGCAGCTAGTGAAAGAAAAAACGAAAAATGATAAGAAAGAAAGTGGCTATGCTAAATGAATTTTAACAAAATTCAGACATCTAACCAAAGACCACTGATGAAAATGGTCAAAGGTTGTGATTCAGGAATAACAAAGGTTCAGTCATTAAGGTTCGTTTTGACATTCTAATTTTGAAACTTCCTATCTTAATTTTTCTTCCTAATTTTGAAATTTTATTTTTTAGTCTTTGGTTGTGGGTGCCTTTTTAGTTAGTAGTTGCCGTAAGCTTCTCATGTTTCTCGGAAAAGGAGATTCCAGTAAGAATTGGAACAAATTTACAAGCTTTTATGTTGTTACGTGGGAACAATAATGTGCTCTCTCCATTTATATTTTATAACCTCTTTGTTATATTAGTATTTTCCTTTCATTATCTTATTCGAGTACTTTCACCTCTCCATTTTTTTAATAAATATAAAGAATTTAAGCAGTATCACATTTTAAATTACATTCTTCATAGTAATTACATGTTTTGGATTGATTTGTGTATCCTCTAATTTTCTTTGGTTTTATGATGAGCCCCTGCCTATCTAGTTAATTTTCCTTATTATACTCTATATTTCTTTTGGTATATCTGAATTCGAGTCGAGTAAATTTTTTTTAGGAAATCTTATATTGTATATAATTAAAGATGCACAGATTGTAAAGGTAAACGTTAAAAAAAATGGACGGGGCTCATTAATTCATTGGCTTTTAATTATAGATTTTAATCCAACAACAAGGGTGGTAGAATAAAATATTTGATTATCATTTTTTTTCTTCATCTGAGACCACATTTAAAGTCAATGAAATTTGCCAATTTATCTCAAACCCTATACCGTAAATAGGTCAATTAAACTGGTCATTTGCGTACGATATGCGGGATTGATTTGTTTCTCGAAAGCTATTTGGAAACAGTAAGTCTTACATTGTCAAACAAGAAATTTGATAATCCAAATTGACCACAATTAATTAATGACATAAAGAGTGAATAAATATTGATTGCAAGTAATTCTCTTAGCTAAAATCTACTCTCTTCATTTCAAAATATAACTCACTTTAACTCTACACGTAAACTAAGTAAGTAATTATTTAATAATTAATTTGTGTGCTAAATATCTATTTTATCCATTATTAATTGTTTTGAAATTATAACCAAGACTAGATGAAAAGTGGTTAGAATCTATTATTGGGGGTAAAGTTGGGAAGTTAACCTTTAATTTGCTTTAAAATCCTAAAATGACCTATATTTTGAAATATTTCTCTAAACCTAAAACGACCTACATTTTGAAATAGAGTGAGTAACAGATATGGCGTAGTCCGTCGAAATATTTAATGCTTGCAAATTAATGTACTTTAAATCAATGTCAAACGCAGTAATTTAAAACAGCATAAATTTTGTTTTGGTAACTAAGTGATAGCACGAATTTTCACCTCAAGGATATCGCTACTGCTCGAGGCTATTGACATTTAGTACTACATTTACGAACTTTTCCAAATCTGACGAAATGAAAAACTCGTGTTGTAGTCAATGTTTTTAAACAGGACTGTTTTGGCGTTTCAGAATCGGATCAAATTTTGAATTGGTGGGATCGGATCGATGAGACCGAAACCATTTAAAATATTATAATAATTCTAAAATTACGAGTTTCAATTCGTTAATTCAATTTTTGTTTGATTTTATGGAGGAGAAGTAGACTAGTACTCACATATGTATCATTAACTCAAAATTTCAACTTTTATATCTTTTCTAATCATTTTCCCCTCTTTTTATACAAAATCAACAACTTGTACAAATATCAACAAAATCAATGGGATCGTTGGATCGTAGGATCCTACAATCCGGATTGGGATTTTGAAGGATTCCATAAGATCCCACTACAAAGAAAGATTTCATAAAATCCAAAATCGATTTCCTAATTTCGCATCGCAGGATTGTAAGATTCTAAGATTCGGATCGGGATTTTGAAAACTATGGTTGTAGTTATAAGCTTGTATATATGCACATGGTAATAAGGATAAATGTTGTCTTAATTATCGACGAGTAAATCACAAAACACGAACAATGAGAACCTAAATACGAAGGTTTTTTTTGTTCCCCTTCACATGAAACCATTGATAATACAAATAACTAATAATGTATTAGTCGAATACCGAAAAAAAAACCTCACTCAGTTTAATCAAATTTATATTGACTAATGAAGTAAATAATTAACCGTAGTCTTTTGATCATTGCATCGGTGACAATTCACTGTTTGCCTAATCGATCAACTTGTTCGAAAAATTGTAAAACTTGAATTATGAATTTCCCACAAGTAGACGACAATCAAATCAAGTTGGAAAAAAAGCAAGAACTTGAAAATTTGTCAGAGTAGATTCATTGAAAAGGTAGGCAAACCTGCCTTCCACGTTCACGATCAATATGATCTCTCACTCAAAGGACACACCAAGAAAGAATTAATTTAATTCCATCCATAAATGTGAACTAATTACTAGTTAAGATTGAGAGAGAATTATCCATAAGACTTGGGATCGACCACTTGAGGACGATTCTAACACGTTTTCTAAAACACCCTTTACTTACATATTTATTATAAATGCATTATTCGATTCGGACAAAGACACGACAAGTTGAAATTGCCTCCAAATTTCCCAATTTTAGATTTGTTTAAGATTAAAAGTGTTTATTTGAAAGGCCCATTTTTGTTGAATCATTACCTTTCATTTTCATGTGTTGAGTACGGAACTTGTAATTCTCAGGCTAATTATGTACTAGTATGTTTCTTTTTACGCTAATAATAGTAATTTTATATGTTCTATCTCTTGTTGCCATTAGAACCTGTAATTTAGTGCTACGCCTGCCGTTGAAGGAAAAATGACCAGAATATTCAAATTCGCTATGTACGTTATTATTATGTTTATTGTTGATTTTAATGATAGTTAATATTAAAACTTTAAAAATACAAAGGTGGGAGGGTTGGATAAGGTGATTAGAAGATTACGATAGGGAATGGTTATTACTAGAAGGTGAAGAGTTCGATTCTCACGAAACTATCTAACATTAAAAACACGACCTCGATAACTTTCGTCGCATTATATGGCTAATAAAAAATAAAAATGTTTATAAATAATATTTTTTTAGACGGAAAGAGTAATATCGAATCGTCAATCGTGGCTGGAGAACTTTTCATGCAAATCTCAATTCAGTACATTTGTTAAGTTAAACTGAGTTGGAAAGGCAGAATAAGATAGCAATTAAGACACTCTCTCCACTAATTTAATCCAATTAGACAAAAGAAAGAAAAGGAAAAAAGAGTTTCATATTTCAAGGCATCGCAGTCGCGTAAGATAAGTGAAAACGCCGGCCGGATGTCACGTTGCCGTTAAATTAAACAATTTGTAGTCACATCAATTACTGACGTGGATGACAGTATATTTTTCCCGCTCCCCATTTCACTAACGTTAAGTCATAATAATTGTATTATACAATTCATATTACTTCCTCCTTTTTCTTTTTTTCTTTTTTTTTTGTGTTTGCGTAAGTAAATGAGATTGGAAAAAAAAAATATCGAAGGAATATTGTTTAATTTACTATTCATCGTCATTCTGTTTACACGAAATGATC